TGGTGGGATCATGGCTCCAGGCTCCGTTCCAGGCGCCGGGTGGGGGGAAAGGCGCTGGCCGCGCGGGAGCCCAAGCTTACAGAAGGGAAACGGCCCCAACGTACTGGGTGGTTCCATTCATCAAGCTGTGGTTGTGCCACCAGCAAAGGAGGCCCCGGAAGAGGTGCGCATCCCCTCGCCTCCTCGCCAGGAAGCGGCCCAGCACGTCTGCGGGGCTGCGAGAGGCCGCCCTGGCCAGTGGGGGCACTTCATGGCCCAGGTCTTGGGGTGAGGGGGTGAGGGGGTAAGGAGGTGAGAGGGCGAGAGGGTGAGAGGGTGAGGAAGCGAGGGAGTGAGGGGGTGAGAGGGCGAGGGGGTGAGAGGGTGAGAGGGCGAGGGGGTGAGGGGGTTAGGGGCTGAGGCCCGGAACGTGGGGCTGGCGTGCCCGCCGTACAGGGCGTGGACGTCCTCTCGATGCCGGTGGCTTGGTGTTGGGGTGTCCTCGCTGCCCCGCTCGGGGCCAGGCCTTGTGCTCTCGCTGCCGGTGTGTCATGTGAGAACCTGCCACGGCGTCCTCCCTCACCTGCTGTTGGGTCACCTGTCTTCACCGGCTCTCCTGGAGGCCGGCCGGGCCCTGGGCTGTCACCGACAGCGAGACAGCTGGGGCTGTGGGCCCGAGTTGGGGGCTCCTGCAGGTGGACGTAGACTTAGACATGGCGTCGACAGCGGTCGTGTTTGCTGAGCCTGTCCCTGTGGACCTGTGTCACCTCTAGGAATCCCCGTCTAGCACCCCGAGGAGGACCCATGATAGAGCAAGATCCACGAGCAAATGTGACGAGGGGCCATGTTCAGTTTGTGGGGAGTATCAGGGAGGTTACTCGGGGAAGCGGCGACTTTGGGACTGAGAGGCGGGGAGGGGGCACCAGCACGTGCAAAGGTCCTGGGGCAGGGGCAGACTGAGCGTCTGCAGACCTAGAAGGAGGTCCTGGCGGCTTGAACCCAAAGAGCAAGGATGAGGGAAGCGCAGGGGGAGAGGCAGCCGGCGAGGTGCAGTGGGGACATTTGCGGGGTGCTTGGATCTTATCACAAGGCCCTGCCAACTTTTAGGCAAGACAGTAGCAGGTCCTGACTCATTCTGACTTAGGCTTTCAGGGGAACCCCTGACTGCGGTTTAGAGCCAGACTGGAGGGGGTAAGGGGGCCAGTTAGGGACCAGGGTGGGAGCGGAGACCAGCAGAATGCCTGGGATTGGGGTCCTGGCAGGAAGTCCAGGGTGTGGTAGTGGCATGGGTCCCCTGGGCCATAGCCTGGCCTGGCTGGTACCACGAGGGACGCAGGGGCACGCAGCTCGCCGGCAAGGACCCTGCCCTCCTGTCACCTGGCTCACTGGCTGCCCTGCCCTTGCCACCCCTCCTCTCAGAGCTCCCTTTACACGACCCCTTTAGGAACCGTGTTCTGTGCCCCAAAGGGGGGGGTCACAAGGCCTAGGTCTTTGCCCCAGGATGGAGGGGATCTCGGGGGGAAACAGTGGCTGTGGGAGCTGGGGGACAGCTCCCCATGGCCTTGGCGTGTCCTCCAGGCCCCCATGTTGGGGAGGACCTTCTCCCAGAGAGTCGCGGTGGGAGGGGCCTGGGGGGCAGACAGTGTATGGGAGGATGCTAGGGTGCAGGCGCCTGCAGTGGGGTGGACCCTGGCAGGGTAGACACACGGGACAGCCCTGAGCGCGCCGGTATTTACTGGGCCAGTGGGCCCTGGCACGCCGCAAGCCTGAGTGCTTCTCACTGGTGGAGGCGAACTCCAGAAATCCAGCGAGCCACGGGCTCCCCAGGCAGGAGGTGTGGCCACGGCCGAACACACGGGCTCTTGGGGCAGGAGGGTCTTCTGACCTTGGGCCTCGCGACCCCCCACCCCCTGTGTGCCGTCGGGAGGGGCTGCCCTGCTGCTCACGCACACTCGTGCTGTGAGCCCGTCTGCGTCTGGGGCCTCCGGCTGTCACACTGACCTTGGCCTGAATTTGGGGGGTTCAGGTCTGAGGAGGCAGCCAGGACCAGAAAGGAAGCTGCCACCCACCCCAAGCACCTCCCTGCCCCCCCACCCCCCCCCCCCGGCTGAGAGAAGGTTCCACCAGCAGGGCTTCCATCCAGGTCGGCTGTCCTTACTGTCTGTGTCCCCGAGAGGGTGGGCCTTTGTTTGGGTTGCTTCTTCATCACAAGTGTCCTGGTGCCCGAGGCTGTGTGGCCCTTGCGTGCGGGACACACCTCTACCCAGGAGACCGTGGCCACCTGGGCTCCTGATCGCTCTGCTTCGGTCCTGCCCAGGCCCCAGCGGGCCCCAATCTCAGCAGATTTGTTTGGCGACTTTAACTGTCTGCTAAAGAGGGGAAATGGGATCACCAGCTTCCAGCAGCTGCTGTGGAGGAGGCTGATCCACAGTGTTGGCCCTCGGCAGCCCTGCCAGCCTGGAGAGGCGTCTGTGCGGGGTGTATTCTCCATGGGGGCTCATGGCTGGGCCACGGCACGTGTCGGGGGCTGCTGTGGCCCATCCCCGCAGCACCTGCCTCTCCCTGCAGAGCGGTCGGTGTGTCTCACTGGGTACCCGTGTCCTACTGGGACATGGGGGCCAAGTCCAGCCCAGCGAGGTAGCAGTTTCTCTGCCCATCACGCCTTCATGGTCATCTGTTCCCAGGGGGTGGTGACCCTTCTAGGATGAGAACTCCGAAAAGTCAGGGCTGACATCCAGGCAGTGTGGGAGGGGCATGAGCTCCATGACTTCGTGGGGCTGTGGCAAGAGCGGGGTCCGCTGCGTGCCCGGTTTAGAAACAAGGCAGAGCCATTCCCCTTGTGACTTGGGTCTCCATCTGCAGGAACCTTGGGCCCAAGGGACATGGCCTAGGATGTCTAGATGGACACAGTTGCATTTTATTGTGATACAAGCGTTCGGTAATAGGGTTTGCACAGGACTTGGCATAGTCCTTGAGAATTGAAAAAGTTGTCTGAAGCCAGTTGTCATTCCCCAAATGTTTGTGGGGTGACTGAGTTGGGAGGTCACGCTGCAGGGCAGCGAAGGACTTGCCTGCGAGGCCAGCCGGGGTCCTGTGCCCCTGGGTGGTGCCCACAGGCCAGGGCTTGCTTCCCAGGAGCAGTGCAGAAGGCAGGGCCCCGGTGGTTGGTGCTCCCTCCAGGTCAGCTGCTCGGTCAGAGCCTGGAGCTGCGCGCGGGCCACATAAAAGCTCCGCGGCATAGTGTGTGCACGTGGACTCTGCAGTGCGGACCGGCTGCAGGGTGAGCCGGAGGCCTGGCCCAGCCGCGCGCTCACACCCAAGGAAGGCTGAAGCTGGGTGGGCAGCCACCTGTCAGCAGGTGTCCCGCCGAGAGCCTGGCTGGAGCCAGCCCACCTGAGCTCACGCCCTGCTGTCTGCTCCCCCCAAATGTGTGCGTTGAAGGCCTCTCCCCCGGTGTCGGCGGGTCAGGAGGTGGGGCTCCCAGGATGGGGTTAGTGTCCTTGAGAGAAGAGGAGGAGACGCCCGAGCCCTCTCTGCCGCATGAGGCCATTGTACAGCGGCTGTCGCCAGGCTCAGGAGGCACCCTGACCCCGGACTCCCAGCCTCCGGAACGGCTGTTGTTCACGCCCCCCAGGCTGTGGTATTTCGTCCTGGCCGCACGAGCTGAGATACACCCTCTCCATCACACACGGTCTCAGAAGCGGGAGGCCGCGTCTGTGTAGATGCTTGCAGGGGGTCACCCCCGGGGGATGGGGCAGGATGGAGACAATTGAAGGCCCGGGGGGCCTGTGGGGTCTGAAGTGGGCTGTCTCTGGATCCGCGTGTCCAGCGTGTGCAAATGCCGTGAGGCGCCCACTTAGAATGTGAGCCCCGTGTGGGCTGCATCTGTGGGAGTTCCCTCTTGCCGCTGCACCAGATTTCCACAGACCGAGTGGCTTAAAATAGCGTGTTTATTCTCTTACAGTTCTGGAGGCCAGAAGCCCCAACACAGTGAGGGGCACGTGTTGGCAGGGCTTTGTCCACCCCCCTGAGGCTCTAGGGCGGGGTCTATTTCCTTGACTTGTCTGGCTTCAAGAAGCCGAGAAGCCACCCGTGATCCTGGGCTGCATCCACTACCCTGGAAGCCGCATCCCCGCACCTGCCAGTCTCCTCCCTCCGACCTCTGACCCCTGCCTCCCCTTAGGAGTTTACCTAATGGTGATGATGCAGGGCCGGGGTAACGCAGATACTCCCTGCCCCTCCTGGTCCTTAACTTTCTCACATCTCCAGGGTTGCTTTGTCCACGGAGGGGACATGGTCCCAGGTCCTGGGAGTTAGTCTGGGACCTCTTTGGGGACCATCACTCTGTTTATCACACGCTACGGTTAAAACCACAAGTACGTGGCCGTGGGTTTGCACCACTCCTGGAATTAGGTCCTGCGTCTGGCTCTGCACGCCCCACCCCCCGACTCCTCCCTCAGCTCATGGGCCCTCCTGCCACAGGCTCTTCCCCCAGGAATCTGCCACCTTGCTCTTCATCCCATCTGGTCCTGCTGGGACTGCAGGAGCGCCCCACTGGTCCTCCCACTGTTGCTGTTCTGGGTCAGCGGTGCCCGGGTGGTCTGCCCCCGGCAGGAGCTCTGTTCCGTGGCGGCAGCCTCTAGACCACAGCCAGGGCACGCGCATGTGTCCAGGCCATGTCTGTGGGGTGACCAAGGGCTACCAGGATCCCTTCCTCTGGGGCATCCTGGTGGTGGTGGCGACTTGGCGAGGTGATTTGCACCTGTTTTGTTTAGCAAAGAACTCCTCCCATTGCTTCGCCTCCGCTCTGGCCCCCACCGTGTCAGAAGAGCCCTGGTGACCGGTCGCCCCTGCAGGGCATCCCCCCACGAGAGGGGCAGGCAAGCTGCCATGGCCTGGCCAGCGCAGACAGGGCCCTCTGTCCGAGTGCGCTGGAACCCAAGCCTTCCGTCAGCACTGCTGCCGCCGCAGGGGCAGAGTGGACCGGAGGGCTGCTCACCTGGCAGTTTTCTCCCCCACAGAGGAGGAGCTCCGGAAGCTGAGAGAAGAAACCAACTCAGAGATGCTTCGGCAGGAACTGGACCGGGAGCGGCAGCGGCGGATAGAGCTGGAGCAGAAGGTCCAGGAGGTGCTGAAGGCCAGGTGAGCGGGGGCCCGGGCCCCCCACTGCCCGCTCAGACACTCCCTTGCCCTGGAGCCCCCCACGGGGTCCTGGCGCCCCTTCTCGCGCCATCCCACTGCATGCAGTCACCTCCGGGTTTGCCCGCCACAGATGGTCCCCGTCATCTTGGCAGGGCCCCGCCATCCCGGAGGGTGACAGGCGCCCCCAGCTTCTGGAGGCGCTCTGCTGTGGGATGGAGCCGTCCCTGGTGCATGGCCGCCTCTCGCACCCCACGCCTCTGCCCACAGGAGCTGGGCTGCTGCCTCACGGTGCTGCCAGCGAGAAGCGGGTCCTTCCAGAAGGGTGTTTGTAGGCTCTGAGAGCTGTGCCCCCCCCGTCCCGACAGAACCCCAAGAGGCTCCCTGTCTGTCCACACGGCCTGGCCGACAAGGCCACTGCTGGGACATCCCAGCCAACGCTGCTTTCTCCCGGGGCGGACGAGTGCATTGTTACTGTCGTGTCTGGCTCTGGTTCTAACGACACCTGCACTCTGGGTGCCTCACTGCATGGGGTTCAGTTGGTGGAAAGGAAAAGCCTCCTCCTGTTGCACGGCCAGACGCTGGCTTCCTGTCCTCTCTTCTCTGCTGGTTGTCAGCTCCCAGGAGCTGGTGGCATCTGGTTCTCTTTGGAGGAAGGGTCTTTTGTTTCGGGCTCTGTAGGCGTTTCCGACAACTGCCGTGTGCTTTGTAAGGCCTTGCCTGTCCCTGCAGGGCAGTGTGGCTGTTGTGGGGTCCCTGGGACTCCCGGTGGGGGCCTCAGGCTTGTGAGGGGAGCGACGGGCCCTCCTCTGCCATCCTGCCGTGGCTACGAGGCCGGTGCCCCTTCCTAGACGTTGGCACGTGGGCCTCGACCTGCACTTTACCTGATGTCGAACCTTCTCACGTGGGAATCCGTGGACGTTTTCATTATGGAAAGGGGTACAGCCAGGGACCGACTCAGATGATGCCGAGAGACCCAGGGTGGTTGGAGGTCAGGGAACAGGGCTTTACAAAGGCAATTCAGGCCTGTCCACTCCGGGCTTATCTGGTTGGTCATCGGACATTAGCATAGGTCGTAAGGGTTCACGGTTGTTAGAAACCCAGGTGCCTTTCTTCGGAGTCAGTGAGGTCACATGGCATGTGTGTTTCCCGGAGGCCACTCTGCTCCCTTCCCACCTTCTGTGGAGCGGCAGGTGGGACTGTGTACCCTGAATGTCATGGGCTGGGGTGTCCTGGCTCACTGTCTTCCTTCTCGTCAGTCTGTGTCATCCATCCAGTGCACAGACCAGGATGGGTCTGTATTTGGGGTGATGTGAGGGGGGACAGTTCTGTCCCCCGGGCACCTGCTCCTGTGTCCTTGTGTCTCCATCCCCCCCTCCCCCCGGGGCACCTGTCCATGTCTCCATCCCCTTGGAGTAACAAGCATGGGAGTCCAGAAAGTCCGCACCGGCCACACAGACCCCAGATCTACCTGTGTCCTTCACCTGGGCCCAGGCTTGGGTGGGGGCCTGTGTCAGTGCTTCTCAGGTGAGCTGCGTCTTCCAGAACCTCTGGGCCGGGCAGAGACATCCCGGTCTGGAGGCCATGATGCACACCTGGGAAGGGAAGGCACTGGGCCAGGTCCTGGCATCTCCCACATGCCCTGGGCTCCTCTCCTGTTCCCAGTAAACCCCTGTTTATCGCTGGTAGCTCTGGGCATGGACAGTTGTTCGAGCGACCTGGCCACAGGGAGGGGCGGTCGTGGAGGCCAGGCCCCCTCCTCCGTGACCTGGCTTCCGTCCTGGGGACTCCGCCTCTGTCCTGTGTCTTCCCCATCGTTGCTCCGTGAGGCTGCAGGCCTGGCTCACCCTGCTTGTCTCCCATCCAGCTTGTCATCCTGCCTCCCACAGTAGATGACAGTCCTGGGGTTCAAGCCCGCAGAGCAGGTCAGTTCGTGGGGGTGTGGCGTGAAATCCCACCATGTGAGCAGGGCAGAAACCACCCCCCCATCCCCTGAAGCCAAGGGCAGGCTCAGGCCGGAGGCTCCCAGCTCTGCTCTCTGTCCCGGAAGAGCCCTCTCTGTGCCCCCCCAGATCCTGCAGAGGCTTGCCAGGGGCCACTTTTCCCACATCCTGGGGTCCCTGCTGTACCAAGAGCCCCAGGAGCAGTTAGTGATGCATCAGTGGCCCCGGGGCCAGCACAGAACGAGGCCTGGGCGTCAGCTGTGGAACGAGAGAGGGTGCGGCCTGGCCTGAGGCATGGGGGCAGAGGGCGTGGGGGCTGGGCCAGCTGCATCAGGCTCTGGAGCTGAAAGTCAGATCAATAGTCAGGATCTGGCAGGTGGACAGAAACTCTAGGAGAACCCTGTGAGGCGGGTTGACTGCTGCAGGGGCGGGAAGCCAGGCAGGTGGCTGGCACGGGCCAAGCGGGGACCTGGGCCCAGCTGGCCAGCGCAGGGGTCACCTAGCCTGTGGCCTCGCGCGGTGCTTGCTGGCAAACATCCTTTTAGCAGCAGGCGAGTTAATTGCCATGAGGGCTGTTTATTGTGAACTTAACAGTTGAGAAGCACAGGTGTTAATAGAGGAAAGAGTCGTAGATTCATGAGACATCTTTTATTTGGTTGTCAAAAAGAGCTTTGAAGTGTGTGCCCATCATGCTTTGGGCGTCGTGGCCTGGACGGCACCACAGCCAGCATCGAGCAGGGGCTTCCAGGGGACCCCGCTGGCTAGACCTCGCTTCCGTGCAGCCAGCTCCCGTGAGTGCTCGCGCTTCCTGCAGCCCCGATGCACATGGTGTTGTGGACTAACAGGACTCCTGCTTCTTCTCCCCTCTAAGGACTGAGGAGCAGACGGCTCAGCAGCCTCCGAAGGGGCAGGCCCAGGTCAATAACGGAGCAGGTAAGCCCCCCGGGGTGGCCGGGACGGGTGCTGGGGAGCAGGTGCTCCTCTGCCGGCCTGGCCTGCTCACTCTGGCGTCGGCTCCCCCCGGACCGGCCTGGGTCTCTCCAGTTGTGAGTTGGCGAGCTGTGGTAGCAAACACAGGTCATTAGACAAGACGTGATTTTATTTTCCTGTAAAAATACCACCCGGCACCTGTTCCCACCCGTCCTGATAGAGAAGTGTTGTCATCGTCGTCCCACTGGCTTCTTGGCCACTGACCTGGTGGCCCGGGTCCAGAGCCCGGTGGTCCTGACAAGGGATGAGTGGGGCAGTGGGGTCACCGTGGTCAGGTGTGCCCAGGCCCTCCTGGGTCAGGACCCACAGCCCCGTTCTCTGCACATTTTCTCCCCGCCCTGGGCCGTGTTCTGCATCCTACCCCAGCCTTTGTACTTCCTAAAGCTGCCCTGGGAGGAAACTGGATTTTCTGCCCATCTCCCTAAGGGTCCAACCCGTGCTGGGCCTGGCCCTCCCGTCTCCCAACCTAGGGCCCGTTCCTGCAGGCTGACCACTGGTGGGCACCCTGTCTGCACTGGGACTTCACAGTCACGCCAAAAGGGTCTCAGGGTTAAGCCTGTCACATGCACACCTGAGGAAATGGGGACCCCCAGGGGGAAGCCTTTGCCTGGGGCACGCGTCCTGCCTTCCAGAGGGGAAGAGGGCCCCTTCCCGGGGACTCTGGTGCAGGACAGGCTGGCAGGCCAGTCCAGGTACAGGATTGGCTGCTGTGCCCTTGGCGAGCGTCAGGGAAGTGGTGGGCGGGAAGACCCCAACTCTCCGGGTCCCCAGGCCCATGGCCTTCTGGGGTGGTGGTCACAGGGGCGGTGGGAGGTGGGGACGGGTGTGCAGCGGGGGCGGCCGGCGGCGGAGGGGGTCCTGGCCTGAAGGTGTCTGCTCAGGCAGCGAGCCCGGCCTAGACATGGGGGGCGGCCAACCACAGCCCTCCGTCTGACTTCACGTTTTTAAAAATATTTTTACATTTTTAAATGGTTGGAAAAAATGGAAAGGGTGTAGATGTCGCATTCCAGCACCCGTAGTGTGGTTTCACGGGAGCGCGGGCGGGAGGGTACATGTCGCATGCCCTCCGCTGCCCCGCAGCGTCACGGTGGCTGTTTGGCCGCTACCCGGCGTGCGCTGCGGGTGTCCAGGTAGGGTGAGCAGCCCCCGCCCCGCAAGCTCCACTTCTCCAGGCCTGCAGCCCTGGACCCCAAACCCCGACCCTCAGAGCCCTGGGGCGCCCGCCTAGCCCTCCCTACGGTGGGGGGACAGCGCCCCCTGCGGGCGACTCTCTTCCCTGTGGAGCATTCGCCTGCGGTTTCCTCCGGGTTTGCTGAGGCTGTGACGTGGGTCCCTCGGAGACGGTCTTGGGCCCGTGAGCCGAGGCCGCCTCCTTCCCTGGGGCCCCCACCAGGACACAGCTAGGTGGCTGCGAAAGCGGGCCGGGCTCGGTCAGCACGCCCTCGCGAGTGTTCATGCCCCTCCGTGGGGGTTCCTTGCACCCCCACCCGGCCTCACCGGGACCCCTGTCCCCTCAGACCGGCGCAGCCAGGGGCTGTGCCCCCGTGTCCAGAAGTGGTTCTACGAGAAGTTTGGGGAGTACATGGAGGACTTCCGGTTCCAGCCCGAGGAGAGCACCGTGGAGACCGAGGAGCCCCTCAGCGCCCGGAGGTGGGGGTCCTCACGGAGGTGGGGGCTGGCCTGGGGGGCAGCGGGGCTCTGCGGTGGGGGTGTCGGGGACGCGGGCACCCAGGGCCTGGCCCTCACCTCTCCTCCTCTCTCTTAGGTTGACGGAAAACATGAGACGACTAAGTGAGTACCTGGCGCGTCTGTGACACCGTCTGTGAGCACCTGTGTGTGGCTGGGGGGCAGGAGTGCTCAGAAGGACGTTCCCCGGGAGTGCCCGAGGGAGGAGGCTGCGTGGGAGGCGTGTCTGGGCCCCACCATGTCCACCCGGCCCAGGTCGGGTTGGGGCCAGCTCTGCCCACCCGGCCCCAAGCGGGGGGCGCAGTTTCCCTCCAGGCCTAGAACCCCCCCTGAAAAGTGGTGGCTCCCCAGATGCTTGCCAGTGCCCAGGCGATGCCACCCTCAGCTGCCCCTTTCTCCCGCCTGGCACAGGCCGAGGGGACGGGAGTGGACAGCTGATGCGCCCCTGGGGACAGTGGATGGTGTGCAGCACCGCAGCGGCCGAGGAGCGCCAGCAGAGGCCCCTGAGTCCTCTGGGGCTCCCTCCCCACGCAGCTGCCCGCCTGCCCTCCCGGGTGTGCCTGAGTGCTGGCCTCACCCGGTCTGTTGTGTCCCCAGAGCGCGGCGCCAAGCCCGTCACCAGCTTCGTGAAGAACCTCTCTGCCTTATCCGACTGGTACTCCGTCTACACGTCTGCCATCGCCTTCACCGTGAGTGCCCCTGGCGCGGTGGGCATGTTCTGCTAACCTCCAGGCAGCCGGCCGGCACCCCTGAGGCTTCCCTAGGGACACATGTCCGTGGCTCCCATCTGTAAAGTGGGTGCCGTGTTGCTGCCCAGCCATGGGGTCGCTGCAAGGATCAGGTGAGGGCGTCAGGGGCGCCCGGGGCCGGCCCGTGAGTGCACAGATGTCTCACAGCGTTCTCAGGCACAGGCCTCTATCGGCACTTCCATCTGCCTTTCTGGACAAGTCAGGGAAGAGGATGGTGGGGTGGCTTGTCTGCCCAGGGGGCCCCAGGCTCCTCCCACTGGGTACCTGGGGGTGGTTCCTGGCAAACACCAGTGCCTGGGGGGCCAAGCTGGGCCTCTGCGAACCCCTAGGCCTGGGGAAGAGCAGGAGAGCACGGGTCTGGCCCGGGGGTGTGGTTTAGGGAAGATGGACCGGCCGCTCTGCCTGCATTGTCCTGTGACAGCCATCCCCGGCCCCACTCGAGGAGACCCCCTCATCACTGGGAGGAGGACATAGGCCACCCACCTGGCTGCCAGGCCCCGAGGCCAGATGGGGCGGCCACAGCTCCCCGAGTCCCTACCTCTGCATTCCGGAGGACTCTGAGACCACCTGGTGCCAGCCCCAGGGGAGATGGGCATCTTGCACACTTACAGAACACAGGATCCTGTGGCAGGGCCCTAGCCCACCTTCACCCTTCACGAGCCCTTGGCCCCCTGTGGCCTCTGGGGCCTTGGTCCTGCCTGTCCTCACCAGGAGAGCGCCTGCCATTCAGACCCACCTTCGAGGCCTCTGCCCAAACCCCATGGCGTTCCATCCTCTGCCCCTCCTGAGCATCTGCTCTGTGCTGGCAGCTCTGTGCCAGGCCCAGGCGGGAGCAGAGGGAAGGGGCCCGAGTGGCACTTTGCCTGGCACGTGGCACGCCGTGGGTTCTCAGCCACTTGCCGGTCACCTCGCTTGGCTGTGATGAGTCCTGGTGCTGCTGCGAGCTCAGGGGAACCATGCCTGGGGCTGGAGGACCTCTGTGTGGTCAGCTCTCCTCTGTCCGTCCCAGGCCACATCCAGCAGCTGCTGCCCTAGGACGTCCCCCTCCCTACACACCCAGAGCAGCTTCTCTGTCCCACCGCTGGCGGCCCCTGCTGAGACGGCAGCTCTTCCCAGGGCTTCTCTGTCAGGCACCCCTCCTTTGGGGAGATGCTGGGGCCCTGGGCGCCCCACCTCCCGGCCCGGCTGGCCTGCTGGGCGGAGCGGGGGGGACGGAGGACAGATGGGGCCTGTCAGGTTGCCTGACGGTCTCTCTCCCACCCGCTTTCTGTCCCGCAGGTGTACATGAATGCTGTGTGGCATGGCTGGGCCATTCCCATGTTCCTATTTCTAGCAATTTTGAGGTTATCCCTCAATTACCTCATAGCCAGGTAGGTGAGCTGCTTTGCCGTACGAATGATGCTGTGTCCCTACAGCACGCACAACCCTGGCACACCCGAGCCAGGGCTGCCTCACACCTGCTGTTCTGGGAGGGGTCGTGGGGTGGGCTAGGCTCCCGAGCGCCCAGGAGGATGCTCACCCCCACCTGGTTTTCGGGATCGTGGGAGACAGCAGCGGGTGGTTATCCAGCCCCGCAGTGGCTCCCCCTCTCGATGGCTGGCAGGCACCTGCAGGGGGTCACCGTAGCCACTCCTGTCCAGTGATGGCACCCCGGGGATCATGTTGGAGCTACAGTCTTTCTGCCCTGGGAGGTCCTGGGGGTCAGAGTCTTTGCAGTCACCTGGCCCCGGGCAGCCTGCCCCATCCTTCCTCTGTGCTCTGTGAGCACCCTCCAGGGGGCTGCGTGGGCAACCCCTCGTCCCCAGGTGGCCCCAGCAGCAAACCTCGGCTTCTCAGGAGCCTGAGGAAGGCCTCGCAGTCCAGACTTTAACCACTGCTCAGAGGTTCTCGTTTGCACACACTGGTTTTCCCAGATGCATCTCGGCCTGCTTACGTGGATTCATTTGGAAATGTTATTTGTAAAGAGAAAAACCTTTATGCACTTGGGAAGGGGCGTCAGTGCCCCGACCGGGCATGTAGCTAAAGTACTTGCTGTTACTGCTTTGAGGACTTATTTTGAAAAACCTCTCGTGTCGTCCCTGTGCCCTTTTAAATGTCTCTTCCCCGTCTGGGCCCCCGGAGGAGGGGCCCGTGAGGGTGACCTTGAATGGTCCATTCTGAGAGCCAGGGTTAGGGGTAGCCCTCGTGGTCTTGGCAGCAAACAGCGGGTTTCTGAAGCCCCTGCCCCGTCGGGAGCCCAGGGCTGCAGAGTCCATGTAACCCTCCGACGGCACCAGCTGTTAAAGGCCTGTGACGGTCTCCTCTTTGCCAGGGGCTGGAGGATACAGTGGAGCATCGTGCCTGAAGTGTCTGAACCGGTGGTAAGTTCTGGGAGGGCGAAGGCGTCTGTCTCCACTGCTCAGGCCTCCACCCAATGGCGCTGTGTGGGGAGGCCGGGGTTCCCCGAGGGCCCCAGGTGCGGCTGTGTGGATGCCCTGGGGAGCCCTGCCTGGCAGGTGGAGGTCAGGGAGCAGAGGCCAGCTGCCCCCCCCCCCGCACCCTGTGACCCCCTGCCAGCTGACACCCCGAGTGCCCCTTGCTGGCCCAGGCTTGGCTGCATGGGGAGCAGGCTCCCTGCCCCGGCCTGTCCTGACCCTTCCCAGTGGGGACGTGATACGCTGCAGGGAGGCACCGAGGGGCTCCCTGGACCATAGGACGTGTAGACCGGGATCAGCAAGCTGTGATCACGGCCCTCCGTCTGGTTTTATGACATTTTGTTGACGTATAGCGAAACCCTTTAATTTATGCACTGCTGGGATGCATTGGGGCAGCAGCAGCCGAGCTTAGCAGCCGTGGCACAGCCCACGTGGCACACAGAGCTATGGGCATTTCCTGTCTGGCCCTTACAGAAGAAGCTTGCTGAGCAGAGGAGACTCTGGCCCCCGGGTGGAGCTGCAGGCAGGACCCAAGGGGCGGAGCCCCTGCTGTGCATGCAGGTCCCAGTAGGGGTGTGGGCACAGGGCTGCCCAGGGGGCCCCTTTAGGCGGGGGTCAGGGAGGGAGTCTCAGGAGGCCGCCTGTGCCTGCTGCGGCTCAGCATCCAGGAGGCCCTTGGGAGGTTCTTGTTGAATGAACTCAGGATGAGGTCAGGAACTCCCTTTGCCTCAGTTTCCCTCAGTGCAAAGTGAGAGGGGAGGGCTGCGTGGTTTCTGAAGCTGAGCCATTGAGGCGCGCCTCCCCGCTGCCCGAGGGGGGTGCCACTGCCCCCCCACCCTCCTAGGCCCCAGCGGGGGTCCCCCAGGACAGTGCACCTGTGCTGTGTGGGGGCAGTAGAGGGACCTGCTCCTGGGGCTGGGAGGCCTCTGAGCTGTTGAACTCTGGTGGAAACTCTCTCCCTTTGGCTGCAGGAACCTCCGAAGGAAGACCTGACCGTGTCTGAGAAGTTCCAGCTCGTGCTGGATGTTGCCCAGAAAGCCCAGGTACTGCTCTGGGGCCCGGCCTGGGGGCGTCTCTGGACCTGCCGTACCCGTAGGGTCCCCTGGCCCCCCAGGACCCAGGCCTGTCTGGTGTCAGCTGACCTGCCATCAGCTGTTTTTTTGTTTTTTTTGGGTCTGTTTCCTTTAAAAAAATAACAATAATACTAGCACTACCCCAACAGCTGACTGGTTTATACATTACTACAGGCCAGAGGGCGGGAGGGCGGAGGCGGGGAGGGGCAAAGACTCCATAAATAAGAGGCAGGTCCCAGACCCGCAATTTGTCAACATTTCTTAAATAGGCGCATTATTTAAATCTTATGTACGATGAGAATCACTTTGCATAACAATGGCGAGGACACAGGATGGTGTGCGATGACATGTCTGGATTTTCTCCTGGGGGGGGGCTCTCTGCGGAGCCTCTGAGGAAGGACACGTCCTTCCTTGGCCCGCGAGGCCCATCGAGGTCCTGTGACAGTGGTGGCATTAGGGTTGACTTTTCCCACACAGCGTTAAACACAAAGGCAAAGAAAATCCACAAAGGGTCCCCCCTCCCCGAGCCCCCCGCCCCCCCACCCCCTCCCCCAACCCGCTGATGCTCCTCTGGTTGCTACAAAGTCCATTTTAGACCAGGTCCCGATGGGCGGGCGGGTGCCCTGGAGGTGGGGGTCCTGCCGCAGCTCCTGGGAGGGACGCAGCCCTGGTCCACCGGCGGTGAGTGGCTGGGCCGGCCGTCGGGGCTCTGTGTCCCCCCACTGTCGCTGTGTGGACTCACGTGTGGACCGCGGCCCGCCCGGGCTGAGTGACCGCCGTGCTTGTCCTCACAGAACCTCTTTGGCAAGATGGCTGACATCCTGGAGAAGATCAAGAAGTGAGTCACGGCCCCCAGCTGGGTGTGGGGGTGCGGCCCCGTCCCCCGCTGACCCCGCTCTCCCTTCCAGCCTGTTCATGTGGGTCCAGCCTGAGATCACGCAAAAGCTGTATGTGGCGCTGTGGGCCGCCTTCCTCGCCTCCTGCTTCTTCCCCTACCGCCTCGTGGGACTGGCCGTGGGTAAGGAGGCGCCTGGGGGGAGTGAGGTGTGTGGGGTGGCGAGGTGTTGGGGGGAGTGACGCTGTGGGGGGCACCAGCCTACATCCCACCAGCCTGTCTGCGGGGCACACATTCCTCCCAGAGGCCCGCTGTTGGCACTCGCTGGCGATCCTCACCTTTAAACTCAGGAGAAATGCAACCCATCACAATGTTAGAGACATTAGAGTCGTGTGATGATGGTTCCTTAAAACAAGCTCACCCTGTGCTCCCATCCCTTCTCCCTCTCCCCTCCCTCCTCCCTGCAGCAGGGGAGCTGGGAGGTGTGGGCTGTGAGGGGTCAGGTGGATGGAGGAGTGCTGGAGGGCAGGAGAGGCCACGGGGGCAGTGGATGGGGCAGAGGATGCAGAGGATGAGGTTTCCTTCCAGAGCCTGCCGGCCGGGGTGGAGCACACAGGACCGGAAGTGGGTGGTGGCCGGTCAGGGAGGGTGCAGGGTTTGCCCCCCAGGGCTGGTAGGTGATGTCATCCAGGGAAGCAGGAGGGACACACGGGTGGGGGGGGAGGTTCAGGCTGAGCTCTGGGGCGGGGAGAGGGCAGGATTCAGGGGGCCCCTGGCCATGGGGCCGAGTGCCTCTGCAGGGTGGGGAGGAAGGTGCGGGCAGGTGGAGGCTGCCCCCGACCCCTCAGCCCGCCCACCCCGGGAAGCTGTGTCCCTCCCCAGGCCGGACCCTGATCCCTGACCACCGTGGGGCTGGTGCAGGCACAGGGCCCATCTGCAGTGCATGGTGGGGGTGAGGGTGGGGGGCTGGATCTGCGCTGGGGCGTTGAGCCCGGGGGTCGCACTGTGTGGGGCTGTCCCCACCTGCCGCTGCCCCCAGCATGCAGCCAGGGCCTTGCCGGGACCCCCGGGGCTGGCAGACGGTGCAGCGTTGGGGGAAATGCCCTCAGTGCTGCTTCTTGGGGCGCAGACTGGCACACGAGCTCTCTGATCCGGGCTGAGGGGGGCCACCAGCCGGGACGACCCTAGCCCACCAGGTCAGAGGGAGGCAGGCTGGGGGTGGTCCCCCGTGGGTGGTGACTTAGGGGCTTGTTTGTGAGGTGGTGTGATTGGCAGGAGCTGCCCGCCCCTCCCAGGTGGCGAGACACAGAACAGGACCCCCGTTGGCTGGGTCACCTTGACCCCCTCGCCCCCTGCCCCGCACTGGCCAGCCCTGGGCCCTGGGAGGCCGTCCCTGAACCCTGGCGCTCTGCTCCCTGCGGCCCTGGGCCCGGCTGGATGAGACTGTGGTCTCCTGTCCCCAGGACTCTACGCCGGGATCAAGTTTTTCCTCATCGACTTTATCTTCAAACGCTGCCCGAGACTACGAGCCAAATACGACACCCCATACATCATCTGGAGGAGCCTGCCCACGGACCCACAGCTCAAGGAGCGCTCCAGCGCCGCCGTGTCGCGCCGGGTAGGCTGGCCTCGGGCTGGGGCAGCAGCCACAGGCCCACGCTTGCTGCTCACGGGGCGTGGGGAAGCTGGTGTCTTTCCGATTGGGGGTGGGGGGCTCTCGAGACAGACGCAGGGCAGGAGGGATTCCCCGCTGCCCGGCACTATGGTTTCGGAGGGCCTGGCAGGGCGCGTTGGGGGGGGGCACGCGGATGGAGGCTCCCTCCCACCTCAAGGCCCCTCGCACTCTCCCACGGACTTGCCTGAGCTGTGCTGACCCCCGGGCCCAGGTGGGCAGGTGCGGGGTGCTGGTTGTGATGCCCCAGAGCCTGGGGGCCTTGGCAGGAGGGAGCCCTGGGAGCTGCTGTCCGGGCCTCTGTTCGCGGCTCTGAGGCTCAGGCCTGCCTGGTCGTGCCCACCGGCTGGATCGGGCCTGTATTTATATTCACGGCGGGAGACCCCTGGGAGTTGGGCCCTGGCACAGAGGATGAGCTAGCCTGGGTCTCAGATCAGTGCAAGAGGTTCCGGGTCCGTCGGACTCTCGGGGAGGTCTAGGAAGGCTTCCTGAGGGAGGCGACGCTGCATTGCTGAGCACCACGTGTGCACGTCATCTGAGGAGAGGTTGTCTGGTGACCCGTTGGCGGGAGGGAAGCTGTGGGCCAGGTGGGCTCAGGGACAACAAAGCTTATCGGGAGCCCAGGTCCTCAGCAGGACGGCAGGGTCGTCCTGAGCCAGCAGACGGACTCCGGTCAGGCAGGTGCAGGGAGACCCGAGGGAAGGGGCGCAGAGGTGGGCAGCCCGGCACCCTGAGGCCGTGGGGGGAGAGGAGGGGCTTGTCCTCATCCTGGGGGGTGGGGCAGGGCCTTCCAGCGGCTAAGACCACCTGGTGCTGGCCAGACTCCAGAGAGGCGTGGGCGCAAGGCCACGGGCTTCCTGGGCCCGGGAGGGAGGCCCCGCCGAGGGTCTGTGCCTGCAGCTCTGCTCGGCCTGTGTGTGGGGTCTCACGTCCCGTGGACCCACTCGTTCTCTTGTCTTGGTCACGCGTGCGTCTGTTGTCTCCTCTTTGGGCAGCTGTCAGGGCACGACAAGGTACGGTGTCTGTGTGGAAGCCCCGCCTCCGCCGGGGCCTGGTGCAGTGTGTTGCTGTGTTGTGACTCTGTTTGACCTTTTAATGTCTCTTTCTGTGGCCTGTCCCCCGGCCAGTTCCAATTTCGGAAACGTCTAGAATGGCCTCTGAGCCCCTAGTAGCCCGGGGCATGGACGGCGTGTGCTGGGGTGCAGGCTCAGCTTCGGTCTCCTGAAGTGGGGTCACCTCTGGGGGAAGCAGGGCTGTCCCCACCGCTCTGGGGCTTCTCTGCCCAGGAGGAGGCCGGGCTCGCGAGATGAGGAGCGGCCCCCAGCAGGGGCTTGGAGGGGTCGCACCCACATCCGGGCATCCGGGCGGCCCGCTGCTCATCTACCTTCACGGTGGGGCGGGGGGGGGGCTGTGTGTGTCCCGGTGCCCCCACCCCCGGCTGGCCCAGCTGACGGGCACGTGTGCTCTCGGCAGCTACAGACAGCCTCCTCGCGGAGCTACGTCTCCAGTGCACCCGCCGGCCTGAACAAGGACGAAGACACCGGTCGCTTCCACGGTACCAAGAAGGGCAATTTCCACGAAATCTTTAACCTAACGGAAAATGAGCGACCGCTGGCAGGTATGTGTGCGCTGGTCTGTGGCCGCCCTGGCCTGCTGGGGGCTTGTGCTGGGCCCGGCAGTGGCGATGGCGACAGGGCCCCGGGGGGGTTCTGGGCAGGCAGGAGGAGTGGGGTGTGCGCCCGGCCCACTCGGCCAGCTCCGGGGGGGGGCAGGTTGAGCAGCGTTCAGAGGGTCCCCCAGAGCGCGGCTCAGAGCTGCTCTCCAGCAGGAGTGTCCCCCAAGCAGGTGTGGCCCTGAGGATCCTTCCTGCGGCCCCCGCGCCCTGGCTGCGACCATGACCTGGCAGGAGGGCCGTGCGGCACAAGGCAGCTGGGTCCATAGAACCGCCTGCGGGCAGCGTGTGACCGCCAGCTGCCACCGAAAGCCCTGGGGTGCAAAGCTTTGACCTCGTCCGGCCCCGTCCTGCTGGCCGAGGGGGCGCCAATGTGTCCTCTGGGTGCCCTGGCCGTGGTTCGGTGCACCTGCACAGCCGCGCGCTTCTCCTTCAAGAGGGCGAACGTCCCAGCTGACACCCGCCCCATAGCCGACACCTGTTTCCTAGGAAGGGGGGGCAGGGCGCCTGCCTTCCTGTCGCAGGGTTTTCCGAGGGTGGACAGACGTGTTGGCACATGTCTGACGAGCCCGCGCTGACGGTTCCCACCTGGAACCGGAGAGAAGGGTGACAGGTCGTGTTTGTGCCGCTAGTGTGCGAGAACGGCTGGCGCTGCTGCCTCATAAACCGGGACCGCAAGATGCCCACAGACTACATCCGCAACGGGGTTCTGTACGTGACGGAGAAGTGAGTGCCTCTGGGGCCCGGCTGCCCCCTCCCCGTGTCCTCGTCCGCCCCACGCTCCTGCATCCCCCACGCTCCCGGCGGTGGCCCTGGGCCACGTCTCCCCACTGCCTCTTGCTGAAGGAACAGCTTCGGACGTTCTGGCGCTTGCTGGACGTACCAGGGATGCTCGACATCCTTTGAGCATGAGTCACACACAGCGTAGGCAGTTGGTTCCGTCTGTAAAAGCTATGAAATGGCCTCTTGAGGTGAAATCCTTGGTGCCAGGCCAGGGGTGGGGACAGCTGGGGGCCTGGGCAGCACAGCTCGGCGGGGGGGGGGGCAGCCCTGGGTCCAGCCTCTGCTCCTCCCCCCGGTAGTTACCTGTGCTTCGAAAGCTCCAAATCCGGTTCTTCCAAGAGAAACAAAGTCATCAAGCTGATGGACATCACAGACATCCAGAAGGTCAGCGTGGGCCCCTCCTCCCCTTCCCCGTGACCCCTCCCGGATTCTGGAGGACGGGGGCCGCGGGGCCACTGAGTGGGGGGTGGGGTGGGGGGGCTCGATTGGAAGTCAGATGTGTTCACAGCGGGGGAGCGGGGATCAGGAGACTCTGGGGTGCAGTCCTCGGTTCTGCCCATGTCAGGGCCCCCCTTCTAGAAGCCTCCATGCAGGGCCCCCAGGCCCCCGTCAGAGGCTGCGCACGTACCACGGGCCTGTCCCACCTGCTCATGGGTCAGCGCCAGGCTCCTGACCCCCCCGACCATGGTGTGGCTCCCGCGGCCCTGAGGTGCTCCCTCTGCCTCGGGTGTGTCCTCTCCCAGTTTCCCTTGGGTGTGGTGGTGCCCGGGAAGGCCTGACATGCTCACTGGGAGGGGGTAGCCGAGCCCACCTGCCTGCTGCCCGCCTCCAGGGTCTGAGTGTCTGGGGCACAGGTCAGCCCCAGCGGGGGTTGGGTCCCAGCTCACAAGCACGTCAGGAGCGTGCCCCCCCGCCACGGCGACCGCGGTCCCTCCCCAGACAGATGTGCCATCCCTGGGATCAGGCCGGGGGCCTCCCCCACCTGCAGTGCCCGTGGGAGACCGTCTCACTCGGATGCGGGAGAGGGTGGGACGGGGCATTGGCAGGTCTGGTTCCTCGGTCATGAGGGGTTCCATGGGTCTTGCTGCCTGTGGCCCCGGGAGGGGAATGCCCTGGGGTCAGGGGACAGGCGCACAGGAGGGTCCCTGGTGACAGTGTGCTTCGTCCCTCAGTACAAGGTCCTCTCCGTCCTCCCGGGCTCAGGCATGGGGATCGCGGTGTCCACGCCATCAACCCAGAAAGTACGTGCTCGGGGGGAGACGGGGAGGTGGCGGGGGGGGCGCGCTAAGACTCCCTGGAGGGCCCCTCCTCCCCTCTCCTCCCCTGAGTCCAGCGGAGCTCCTGCCCCTCCAAGTGCTGGGCCCCCCCGGGGGTGGGGTGGGGGGGTGGAGCCGAGGTCGGTGTCGCCGGTGGGCGGGCACTCCTGTCCTCACCGGGCGTCTCCTCCTCGTCAGCCGCTGGTGTTCGGTGCCATGGTACATAGAGACGAGGCCTTCGAGACCATTTTCAGCCAGTACATGAAAATCACGGCGGCGGCAGCATCTGGCAGTGACAGCTAGTGTTGATTCTCCCGGGACGATGCTGGAAAGGGTTTTGTTTTGTTTTTTCTTTTTTTCTTTTTTTTTTTTTTTAACAATTTGATAGTGGAAAAAAAATGGACGTCCTCCCGATCTTTTGCAATAATTCCCCTCGATCTGTGGTTTTTATTGTGTTTGCCCTGCGCTCTGCGGACCCCTTCACGCAGGGGTGGGGCCCTCAGATGCAGCCCGCCCTTCTGACGGTGAGGCGTGCCCCGCGAGCTCGGGGGCGCGGAGGGCAGGGGACCCTGGACGCCGGTGTAAAGGATGATGCACGGGAGCCACCGGCCCCGGCCCCCGCCTAGGACCGCTGCTGTCTGCCCCCGACGGAGAGCCCGCACCAGCCGCGCACCCAGCGCTCCAGGGGCCGCCGCCCTTCCACACCAAAGCCATAGCTGAGGCGCACCTGCCGTCCCTCTTCCGGGGGTGACAGACGCAGGGAGGAGCGGCTTGGAGGCCCCTCCACAGCACCACGAGCGGGACCCTGGGTCTCCTTGGTCCAGCGAGGCCTTCTGCAGCGTGTGGCCAGGGTGAGCCCGGGTGGGGGGCGCGGCTCTGCGTGGCCTGTGCCCTGTGCCCACCTCCCGTGGGCGCCGACAGGCTGGCTGGGCCCGGGCCCCACCCCCACCTGCTGCCTCGGCCTCCCGTGCCACCGGGGCCTGGAGTTGGTGACCCCGCGAGGATTGGATGGCACGCGCGGGTAGAAGCACATCTTTTTAACACTCTGCTCTTTGGAGAGCCCCATGGGACACCTGCCAGGCTCTCGGGCCACACGGGGCTTTGGTGGCTCGCATATGAGGATCAACTGCGGCTTGGCTGGTGCCGCCTCGAGGCTGCAGCCACCTGGGTCAGTGAGCGGGGGCTCTGGGGTCCCGGGAACAGACGGTGGGGCCTGGTGTGGGGACAGAGAGCGGGGCCCGGGGTGGGGACAGAGAGCAGGGCCCAGTGTGGGGACAGACAGCGGGGCCCGGAGTGGGGACAGACAGGGGGGCCCGGGGTGGGGACAGACAGCGGGGCCCAGGATGGGGACAGACAGCGGGACCCGGTGTGGGGACAGAGAGCGGGGCCCGGGGTGGGGACAGAGAGCAGGGCCCGGTGTGGGGACAGACAGCGGGGCCCGGAGTGGGGACAGACAGGGGGGCCCGGGGTGGGGACAGACAGCGGGGCCCAGGATGGGGACAGACAGCGGGACCCGGTGTGGGGACAGAGAGCGGGGCCCGGGGTGGGGACAGAGAGCAGGGCCCGGTGTGGGGACAGACAGCGGGGCCCGGGGTGGGGACAGAGAGCAGGGCCCGGTGTAGGGACAGAGTGGGGCCCGGGGTGGGGACAGATCAGCGGGGCCTGGTGTGGGGACAGAGAGCGGGGCCCGGGGTGGGGACAGATCAGCGGGGCCTGGTGTGGGGACAGAGAGCAGGGGCCCGGGGTGGGGACAGATAGGGGGCCCTGGGTGGGGACAGATCAGCGGGGCCCGGTGTGGGGACAGAGAGCGGGGCCCGGGGTGGGGATAGATCAGTGGGGCCCAGGTTGGGGATAGATCAGCGGGGCCCAGGGTGGGGACAGGGGGGCCCGGGGTGGGGACAGACAGCAGGGCCCAGGGTTGGCACAGATCAGCGGGGCCCGGGGTGGGGATAGATCAGCAGGGCCTGGGGTGGGGACAGACAGGGGGGCCCGGGGGTGGGGACAGACGGGGCCCGGTCTGCCCGCGTGAGCTGTGCAGGGAGGCCCGGAGGTCACTGGCTATGACCGTGAGTGAAGCCCAGAGGTTTGGGGCCGGCGGCCTGCACCCCTGACGTCTGGCGGAGTCGGTGGGCGCGCCCCGTGCCAGCACACACCCGGGCCGGGAGCCAGCTGCCCCCCGCGCCCCGCTCGGCCTGGGCCCCACCGGGAAGCAGGCTCTGGAGACGAGGCCGGGGACGGGGCCTGTCTGCGGGCTGGGTTTGTTCCAGGACAGGCCTGGGACCTCCGTGAAGGACGGGCTGAGACGGTGGCGGTCAGCACACTTCCAACTCGATTACTCCAGTTCCTCAGCTTGTCCTGAGTCCTTTGGGTGTCACTGAGATTGTTGTTTTTTGAAGAAACAGAAGATTATATTTTTTACAGAGAGCAAGCTGTTTTTCTTATTTTTGTATCATTTTTCAGATGTAATTTTTACCTTTGCTCCAATCCGGATGTGCTGGTTTGGGTGAGACCTGGTGGCGGCGCTCACGTCCCCCTTCCCAGGGACCTCAGGGCCCCCCGCCGGGGCCCGGGTGGCGCTCCCGGGGGGCCGCCCAGCAGCCTGATGAAGCACACACCCCGCCCGGCCGGTGAGGTCTGAGGGCACCGCGGCGCCCTCCGCTCACTGCGACCCCCAGGGGACCCGAGTCAGGACCCACTGAGCCTCGGCTCGGGCTCCCCCAGGTGGCACCGGCGGCCTGGCTCTCGTGGGCCAGGAGCGGCCCCAGGGACCGGGGGCAGGGTGGTGCCCGTGGGTTCCACTCACACCCGTCCCCGGGCCGCCAGGGGTCCGCGTGTGCCCGCAGGGGGGCCGCCCTTGCCAGCAGAGCGGGTGGTTTGGTTCGAGTCCCTTCTGAGGAGAAAGGGAGATGAAAACTGACCACGTGGGGGGGGCGGGGGGCCCGGGAAGCCGGCTCTGCCCGCAGGGGGGCGGCCTCCCCGCCTCCCCGCTTCCCGGCTGAGCGCCCGTAGTTTCTCTCAAATTGTGTAAATCTGGGCAGATGTTTAATTTCTATGACTAATCACTGAACTAGAATGAATGTTACATTTTTTATGTCCGAAGCTTGAGTCTATTTTGAATCTGTAAATAATCGTTCCTGGTGTCACTTTTGTTCAACAAAAGGATCGTACTGTATGAAGAACCGATGAAAACCCCCATAACATTTTTTTAAGAAAACTTTGTTTGTTTAAAGAAGTCTTGTATAAATTATAATTTTTATTTAAATAAACCCGAAATGCTGTGTGCTCAGGGGCGGGTGGGGCCGGCAGCTGGCACGGGGCGGGGGCGTGGGGCCGGGACACCGGTCAGGGCGGCCCAGGGGCCCTGCGGCCACCAGCGGGGACGGCCAAGGGGGGAGGTGGGTGCCCAGGGGGCGGCGGGCCCAGTTCCAGAAGGTGGGAGGGCAGGTCAGGGCATCCAGCAGGCCCATGACTCGGGGTACGGAGGAGCAAGTAAGGGACAGAAGCAGAGCCTCGGGCTTGGGGAGCAGGTCCTGGTCCCCCCGGGTGTGGCTTTCCTGGGAGTGGTGGGCGCCCCTGGGACCAGGTGCTCCTGTAGGCCTTCCCCTGGGGTCTGCGGCAGAGAGGTGGGCAGAGGGTCCCCGGTGGTCCCCGTGGCGCAGACGCTGATGCTGGAGACCGTGGGGGGCAGGAGCCCGCCACCTGCCCAAACCACCAGGGCCCCGCGCTGAGCTGAGCTGGGTTCAGCCATGGGCGCCCAGCCTCCCACACCCCGAGCCCCCAGGGGGCCCCCAGGAGGCAGAGGCCGGGTCCCCGGGAGTGAGCTGGGAGCTGGACAGGAACCAGGTCTGGAGGCCCAGCTCTGCTCACAGGTGTGGCCTTGCGTCCTGCGTCCATCCACCCCTCTGTCGCGGGCACTGTCCTGGGGGCTGGACGTGGCCCCGACTGGCCCCTGGGGACAACGGGCCCTGGGGACCTGGCACACAGTGACCCCCCGGGGAGTGCGGCCCCCCCATGACAAGCCAAAGGCCCCGCCTACCCCAAGGCCCCTGCCCACCCCACTGTGAGTGGCCGGTACCATGGCACCAAAAGGCCTGGTCACTGTCGGCCGCTCCTGGGGGTGGGGCGCGTCTCTGTAATTGGTTTTGCTTGCAGGCCTGTGTGCCCATCCATCACAGCAGACTCCGGGGGGACGTCCGGGACACCCAGGGGGCGCCTGCTGCCCCCAAGGGACCTGGGCCTTGGTTCTGGGGAGGCCGAGCCCCTGCCGGGCTCCCAGCAGGTCTGTGGCGCAGGCTGCAGGCGGGGGGCAGGGGGGGGACACGGTTTTTATAGACCCTTAGCACCCTCGTTCAGTTGGGCTTCTGTTCCCGGGGACCTATGGGTGCTTCTGGGTCAGGACCTTCTGTGAACGAGTCTCACAGCTGTGAGTAAAGGGGGGAGGGCACCCCTGCACACGAGACCTGTGGCCAAAGGCTGTGATTGGTTCACCCGCAGAAACCAGGTGAAGAGCTGACCTCAGCGCAGCCTCTGTAACAGAGGCCCAGCCTGCGGTGGGGGGGAGGGGGGAGAGCCCGGCCTGCAGGAGTGCAGGGGTGGGGGGAAGAGCCCGGCCTGCGGGTGGAGGGGGAGAGCCCAGCCTGCGGGGGGGGGGGGGGGGGAGTCCTGCCTGCCGGGGTGCTCGCGGAATCGAGGAGAATCCTAAGGAGGATGGGACCGCTGAGCCGCCACCACGCAGTGCCCAGAGCATGCTGAAACCTGCCCCCCAGACACGCGGGAGCTGGGGGGCCCCCTCTCCTGCAGCGTCCCTGTGCTCCACTGTCCAAGGTGGCATCGAGCGTGGGGGGTGCGGGGGGGCAGGGGTCCCAGGACTTGGGAGGCAGAGGTGGGGGGGCGGGCGCCCGGGCTCCCCCAGGGGCTGCTGTCACGCCGGCAGTGGGGTCACGGCTGGTGCAGCCAGGGCCGCCTAGGTGAGCAGTCTGAGGGAGGGGAGCCACTCCACCACCACCTGGGGTGACAGGACAGTGGACACTTCCAGATCGGCAGTTTCCAGATTAAGAGGCACATTTTGAGGATTCCATATGACACACTCCAAAAATCGCATTTACGTGTAAAAACAAAAGAACAATTAGGGTAGTCCCCAAATACAGTTTTTAGGAGTAAACAGAATTCGGAGACGTACGGGAAAATTAGAGAACTATCCCAAGACCTGAGGACGTATAAATGGGAACGTACGCAGTGTTCCTAGACTGGAAAGCAGAGTGTCCTGATGGGGGACGCCTGGGTGGGCGGCTCGGGCGGCTCAGGGGGTGAGCGTTTGCCTTCGGCTCAGGCCGTGATCCCGGGGTCCTGGGATCGAGTCCCGCATCAGGCTACCCACAGGGAGCCTGCTTCTCCCTCTGCCTGTGTCTCTGCCCCCTCCCCCCACCCCCGTGTCTCTCATGAATAAGTAAACCAAATCTTAAAAAAAAAAAATACCTGAAGACCCAAAGAAGCGGTTGGGCCGGGGGCTCCTGTTCCGTCTTAACAAAAAGGCAACGAATTTTTCAAGAAGTGACAAGACAGAGGGAAGGGGGTTTGGGCCTTGAAGGTGACGGGGCTTCCCTGGATCTGCAGTGGGAGGTAATGAAAGGTCTGGGTTTGTGCAGCCCCAGCCCCGCCGACCCCCCACCCCCACCCCGAGCGCCACCTGCACTTGCTGCTTCTGGACGGTCTTCAGCCGTGCAAACCATCCTTAGGCCCAAGTGGCCTCCTTTGGGGTGGCCTATTCTGACCCTCACAGGGATAAAGCAGGGGTATGGTACACCGGAAATCGGGGGCCCCTCTAGGGTGGGCAGGGGAGGGGAACGCGGGGACTCTGGGGTGCAGGTCCGTCTCTTGGCCAGGGTGGCGGTGGCTACACCAACGTTCATTTGATTCTTGATTTTTAAATCCTACGTAGCTGGGGGCACCTGGGGAGCACAGTCTGCTGGGTGCCCGGCTCTCGATTTCCGCTCAGGTCGTGGTCTCGGGGTTGGGCTCGGCGCTCAGCGGGGAGTCTGCTTGGGGCTCCCGGTCCCTTGGCCCCACCCCCTGCTCACATGTGCTCTAAAATAATGTAAAACGCACATCGGTGTTTTCAGACAACATGCTCTGCTTTGAACATAGCAAGAATTTAGAAAAGAAAAAGAGCAACTCCGCCCAAAGTAACTTTATTTTTGTCTTCTCAAACATATCGGAGCAAATATGCCATCTTCCCATCTTGAAACCAGCAAGATTAGGACACGAAGCCCCCCTTCAGCCCACACTTGCCCGTTACACAGGATTGACCAGAACAGTCACACCTGCCCACTGAGCAGCAGGTGCCGCGCAGGTGCCTGCGTGGTGATGACAATAAGCCAGAACAGGGTCAAAGCGTAACGGCCGCCGTAGGGTTTCTGCACTAATGAGTCACAAAGTCAAAACGCAGACTAAGTCTTCTGGATGATCCTAAGTTTTCACCAACCAGCCATCCGTTCCGATTTCCTTCCAAGACCTTGGAGTCCAGGTGTCTGGGGCCTTCCTGGAGGCCGGAGCCCCTCGCCTGTGTGGGAACGTCGGAAAGATCCTCCCGTCCTGTGTGCAGATCACTGAGGACCCTTGGGGCTGCTGAGACCATCAGGCGCACCCCGAGAACGGCCCAGAGCCTGCGGCAGCCGTCCACAAAGCCCGTGGCGTGGCTGGCTTCCTTGGGGACCGGAAAATGCTCACCGGGGCTGGCGGGCTCCTCCACAGTTGGCAGTGGAGTTTAGGACGGACCAGGGCTGTTTGGGGGAAGCCCTGTGAAGGAGCACTCCCCGGGGCGCGGGGCTGGGCGGCACCCTCGGGCCTGCCGTGCGGCCTCTGCCCCCGCACAGCACTGCCGCCCCTGCTTCTTTGGTTTCTTCCAACCGGCAGCAAGCAATGAGTCAGAAACAGCCAGCGCACTGACTTTCCACACCACCCTTCCTACCCACCCAAGACGGAGTAAACCCACGTGTCCAATTAATTCCTCGGAAATGTGGCCCCTTAAAAAAAACAAAAAACCCACTGTCAAAGCTGCCCTCTTGTCTGACCCGGATGGGACTAAGTGATAAAATAGGAAATTTCATGTATACTTCAAAATATAAACACTGCACGCGAATTCTAAAAATATACATCGGTTGGCGCTACCCTGACTAGCCACGTCTGCGTAACGTCAAGCTCCTATGGGCACGACGCGCGTCGGTCGCCTTCTGTAACAGGCTTCCTCTCTCGTCGCGGACAGAGTTCGGGCCGCAGCTTGCACCTCTAATAAAGCTATCTTAGATGCATCTCCCAGGTACCTAAGCGTGAATACAAAGGAAACAAGGCCACAGCGGGGCCCGCCTCCAGGAACCCCCAGCCTCTGCGGCTCCAGCGCTGCAGCAGAAACCAAGTCTACAGCGCTAACCGTGGAGACCCCACGTATGCTCTTCTGGTGTAAAAGGACATTTTCAACAGATACAGAGAATTAAGTGTGAAGAGAAGCACAGGTCTGGACCACGTACGTAGAACCTGGGGCCCACGCCGGAGCAGCCCGGGAACTCGGGGTCCCCCCAGCAGGGCCAGGGCGCTCGGGTTGAGGTGAACACGGAACCCACACGGTGAATTCGTACTTCTTGCACACCAGCTCCTGTCACGCCCCCCAGAGCCCACCTGTTACCCACTCTGTGTCGCGACAAAGCATCACTTTTCTAAGTTTCAAACGGAGGGCACCCCGGGTGACGAGTCCCACGTCGGGCTCCCTGCATGGAGCCTGCGTCTCCCTCTGCCTGTGTCTCTGCCTCTCTCTCTCTCTCTCTGTGTCTCATGAATAAATACGTTTTAAATGGATGCTGTGTCCAGCGCTCATGATTGTTCTCGCTGCGGCTGGATTGTCCCAGGAGCACAACCACAGTGGGAGCCCGGGCTGGGAGCCTAAAGATAAAAGTGTCAGTCCTGTCCACGTCCTTCTCACTCAAACGGTCTGCGCCCCAGGTTCTGACGCAGGGGACACCGCGCTGGAACTGCCCCAACACACAGGCTCCAGCAAGTGTCCCAAGCACAAGGCGAAACGAAGGCAATGTGCTACTTTCCAAACCCTGATCCCAAACAACTCCAGGACATCTTGTAAAGCGGATCAACGAGCCGGGAGAGACCTCACGTCCAGATGGTGTGACCTCACATCCACCTTCCCCAAGGTTACCGCGACAGAGCCACTGCTGGGCCCCTTAAAGATCTGTGCTGCTGCCATGGAGACAACCTAAGAAGCCAGCGCCCCCAAACTGACAAGTGATGTTTGCTGAGAGTAAGTGATGGGAAACGCACCCCACAGGCTCACAGAGAACTGAAAATGCCTGGTATGTTCACGAAATTGCTGACAAAGGTATTTTTTCTAAAACCAAGATCTAACTATCAAAAATAAATTTCTAAATTTCAATGTATATATCAACGTAATCGGTCTGCAGGAATTTCTTTAAATAATGTTCACACTTCCCAAGCATAGCAAGGCAGGCGATGCGTGATGGCGGCTCAGCTGTCCAATTCCTCCTTAGGATTCTCCTCGATTCCGCGAGCAAAGAGGCGAACCAGCTGGCAGTGGACCCTGCAGAGACAAAGGGCCACGTGTAACCCCGTGTCCCCCTGACCCTCGGCCTTGCAGCCGGTCATGGGTGGAGGCAGGGTGGCCGTCTTCTCATGGCCAGCTCTGGGCCCGACCCCGCAGGGCCAGGCCAGGGGTCCACGGGGACTCACCCACCCTCTCGAGAGGCCTATTTTGTAAAGGGGGCTGAGGGCCAAGTGGCAGTCTGGGCGGTTCTCCTTCCAGCACTCCCTTTGGCAGAGTGACAAATCTCTAGATGACTGCTTTCCGAGCTTTCAGGGCCACGGGAGGGCTCCGTGCAGGGTGGCCCCCCCCTATATGGGATGTGCAGGGTTGTCCAGTCACCCCAGATGAGGGGCCCCACCTCGGCCCCATCCCAGGGTGCATCGGAACCTGGGGCGCAGACCGTTTGAACAAAGTGCCCTGGGGACCCCTCCTTCCACAACGAGCATCAGGATGAGAACTGGAGGGGCTCCGCGGCCAGCGTGGCCATCAGGTCCCCACCAGCAGAGCCACCTTCCTCAAAGGTGTTCAGTAATAAAAACCCTGTAACTAAGTCACTCGCTGCTCAAGGCCTGGTAACGTTACTGAGATACCTAGGACATACTTGACAGAAAAATGCTCTTCCTAATTTTCAAAGTGTCCTATTTTTTTTTTAGTAAATCCTTAAACTGGCATTAAAAGTAATTCCATGTCTTTAACTCGTGAAGTTACAAAAGCCCAATCCCTGCACGTCTGACCGTCCTGCAGGGGTTCCCCGGGGCCTGTGGATCTGGGCTGGGCGGATGGCGCAGGTGCGGGGGCCACAGAACAGGTGTGGGCAGACGTGTGGCCCGGTGAGGCTGAGGCTGGCAATGCAGAAGGCCGGACGCTGTGCGTGGGACCCCAGCTTGCGGAAAGCTGAAAAGCCCTTTAATGTGGGGATCACACACCGTGACAAGCCTGTTCTCTAAACGTGGTGACTGAAGATGACGGTGTGGATGGGTGCAGGGCTGCGGGCTATCCTGGAGGAGCATGCCGCACGCCGGCCTCCTTAAAGGAGCCTAGGAGCTCCCCGACAGGTGCACAGAACCCCGGAAAGTACACCGACGCCTCCTTCTACAGCCTTTTGTAAAGACTCCTGTTACGTATTTTGGGGGGGGGCGCTTTCTTTGTGCTTGCGCTTCATCTGGTTGTGTAACACACGTGATCAGATGGCAGATGTCCACACCAAACATGGGGGCCCCTGCAAGTCTGCAGAGGACCCCCTGCCCCCAGGGAGGCCGCGAGCCAGACCCCCAGCCCCGGCCACAGGCAGGGTTCCAGTGGACCCAGTGACGTGGGATCTGCGAAGGTGGCCGGCTAGTCCATCTAAATAATTAGGAAAAGAGAATGAAAACGCCAGAGCCAAGGACAGCTGCCAGTGCCAGGGTTCAGGGGGACGTGATGGATGGCCTGGAGAGTCCTGGGAGATGCCAGCATCCCGGCACGTCTCCCAAAGCAAGAGGGCAACATCTGGAGGGCTGGACACACACAAACACATGCACGTGTAGACGCCTGGCAGGCACCTGGCCGCAGGCGGGAGGACTCGGTGCCCACGGAGCCCCGGGGCCAGCGTCCACCGCCACCCACCTGACCTCGATGGAGGAGCTACTCAGGATCTCCCCGTCGCAGTTCCATGAGCTGTTGGAGACGGAGCAGCAGCAGGACGGGTGCTCGCTGCACATCTGCCCGAACCGCTTCTTCCCTCGCTCCTTGAGGTCGCTGTCCTCCTCCTCCACGTGGCTCGACGTAAACTGGAATTTCTTGACTCGGTAAACTTCGACAAAAGCAAAGTCAAACTACGGAGAAATACGGAAGAGGGTGTGCATGCTTATTGAGCCGGGCCGGGGGGCCGCAGGCTGGCAGCTCGCACGCAGACGCAGGCCCGATACCTGCCTCCCACCGCATCCACAGTGACAGGCACTTTATAAAGAATCCTGGAAGGGGCGCCCGGGCGGCTCAGTCGGTTCAGTGTCTGACTCTTGGTTCCATCTCAGGTCATGATCTCGGGGTTGCGGGATGGAGCCTCACACGTTGGGCTCCACACTCCGGGTTGGCTTTAGACGCTCCCTCCCTCTCCCTCTGCGCCGCCCCCCGCCCAGCTCTCTCTAAAAAGTAAACAATTAAAAAAAAAAAAAAAGAATTCTGGTGGTTCCTTAGCAGTAACTTGGAGAATTGTTTACCTTTTCTGGAAGCACAAATGGGAAAGCCCCCTAAAAACACCGTTAGACTACACTTTAAGTACAATTAAAAAAAAAAAAACCCTCATAAATCTTACTAAGATCAGAGACTGACCCGCTGCTCCAGGCCTGTGGACGTTGTTAGACTTGGGGTCTCCCCGTATGAGCTACGGATGCCAGCTGCTGCGGGAAGTTTGGCTGGAGGGGAGGCCTGTATTTTTTTTTTTAAGATTTTTATTTATTTATTTATTAGAAAGAGAGAGAGAGAGGCAGAGACACAGACACAGGGAGAAGCAGGCTCCATGCAGGGAGCCCGATACGGGACTCGATCCTGGGACTCCAGGATCGCACCCTGGGCTGAAGGGATTAAACCGCTGAGCCACCCAGGAATCCCCAGGAAGCTGTATTTTTAACGAGCTTTTGTCAGGAGCAGCTGAGACCGGAGCTGGAGGGGTGAAGCAGAGCCTAGAAAGGCCCTCCTCCTGGCGACACAGCTGGGGATTCCCGGGGCAAGGATGCCACTTGCCACCTCGGGGCGCAGGACGAGCACCCCACTCACCTGGTCATACTGGTTGGTGTGCCTGACGAGGAACCTCAGAAAGTTGAACCGTGAGCATTTCCGGATAAGGATGAGGTCGGAAGACCCGTCCCCCAGGTGGGCGGCAGGGGAGAGGCCCCAGGGGCTCCGCGGACAAGCACAGCACATGTTGGTGGCGTTGATGGCCAGGAACTTCCCGCAGACCACCTTCCACTCTTCCACCTCCTCTGAAGCAGAAAGGGGCGGGCAGTGGGGCTGTCAGACGTGCAGCGGGGTCCCGGGAGCACCTCCACGAATTCCCCACGCAATGGACTCCCAGCACTGACACGCGGGACCCTGGGCCGCCCGCCACCACCCACAGGGCCTCACGGGGGGAGTCTTGGGCGATTTAGAACAGGGGTCACCACGTCTGGCCCGCCACCTGATTTTGTGTGGCCTGTGAGCTACGAGTAATTTCCACGTTTTTAAATGGTTGGAAAAGATCAAGAGGAATGACATTTTGTGACATACGAAAATTCTATGGAAGTCTAATGTCAGTGCCCGTGAAGACAGGTTTTGCAGCGCGGCTGTGCCCCTCCCCGAGCGCCGGGCAAGGCCGGAAGGCTGGAGCGTGAGGCGGTCACAGGAACGCTCGCGGGCCCCCGATGCAGAGCCCAGTGGGCGCCACCACCATCCGCTCCTCTCCACAGGCTGGCACCTGACAGCCACCCGCTGCCGCCTGGAGCTCAGGAGACGGACGCGCCGAGCGCTCCAACACGGGCAGCGGGAGACGCACACGCTCAGGTTCAGAACCGTACAAAACTGCACACACGGTCGTGACGCGGGGTCCACTTCAGAGACGTTACCTGTGTTCTCTAAGCCGTACAGCGACCTCTTCTGCTCCTCCTCCAGCTGCTGCTTGCTTTGCCGGCACACAAAGCACCTGAAAGACAAGGCCGTCACCACCCTGCCAGTGGTGTACGGACGGGACGCAGACGCGGGCACAGACACGAGGACCACGTGCTTCTCGTGTGACAGCAAGCTCAGTTCCAAAGGCTTAGCTCACACTCTTTGCCTTGCACGTCGGTTTGAATTTGAATTCTCCAAATCAGACCTCGTAACAGTCCCGTGTGGCCAGGGGTCCTGCCCTAACGCGTCTAAGCGTCCTAAGTAGCAAAGGGCATCGGGTGTGCCCAGAGCCGGGTCCGGCTTGGCCCCTCATTAGTGGAGCGCCAGCTGGGTGCCGGACACCAGGGGTTCCCATCCCACAGACCCAACAGGGTCTGTTCCTGTCGCTAACAGGCAAGTCCACGACGCCGAGCTCCGTCATCAGCGCAGACGGTCTCTGTGGTCCTGGGCTCCGCTGGACACGTGTTCACACTGGTGGGATGAGCTCATGAGCTCTGCTCGGCGACAAGATGGCTAAAACGGCCTCCCCCACTCTACAGTCTCAGAGTCTTCGAAGGAAGGAGCTCGGGTGCACGTGACCCCGGAAGCCCTGCGCCGAGTGGCGCTATCGCTGGACCTGAGAACCACCCTCACCACCTACACCTGGAAGATACCCGCGTCCACAGGAAGAGCGCACCCCCAACGGCCCGGCTCCACTTCACGCCATTGGTGATGGAGATGCACGGAAGGTGGTGCTTACCCCGCCCGGCAGGGTTTCCTGTCCCTGGGAGACCCCACTGTGTGTCGTGCTGGCAGGAAAGACACCGTCCCTTCGTAGCAGTGATGCGAGAGGAAGGTCTTCAAACCTGGGAACAGAGCGTGAAGGGAAGCAGCCCAGTGTCGCTCCCTGGCCACCAGATCGTTAGCGCACCTGTTCCAGGGCACGCCACCCCCAGGCCACCAGCGCTTTCCAAGACCCGTGTGCCAGGAGCAGCAAGGGATCGGGCCACGCTGGGTGCCTGGTCACCGGGGCTGCCTTCAACGGGGGACGTCTCTGCCAGCAGTGACCCCTCCTGGCCCGCCCGCAGGTCACTGGCATCCAGTGGAGCCCCCGACGTCTGCATAACTTGAAGGAGACGCTTCAAAGGGCAGAGCCACCAGAGCCACCTCCCTGTGCCTTCCAGGCAACTCCCAGGCCTGGCCACCCAAGGTCACCCAGGACAACTCTGGCGTCTGGGAGGGACTCTGACGAGGTCGGGGCAGCACTGCCCCCAGAGGGCTGTGGCCGGTCCGTGCCAGATGGTGCTGCGCTGTCTGCTCTGAGCTGGCCTGGCCTGCCTCGACCTACCCCAGAGTACACGGCGAGTGCAGGAAGCCCAGCAGGTTGTGAATGGGGCCTGAGCGTGCCCTGGGCCACAGCGGGGACCATGCTGTATCTTGCAAGTGTAACAGTGACACCGCTCCCTGAGTCGGACGCTGGGCTGGTGCTGGCTATGGTCACATCTGCCTGATGGTGACACCCCCAAGCCCCTCCGCCCCAGCCTCCTGCCTGTGGGACGTGCTTAGTAACTACCTGTTCCCTGGGGAAACCACCTTCCTCCCACCACTGCTCCCCCGGGGGGGGGCGTCCGGCCCCCTGGCTACCCCCATCCCCTGCATGGACAACCCTCTACCTCAGCTCCTGGCGAGCGTAAAGGGTGTGCAGCTGGGCCCCTGCAGGGCAGCCTCTCTCCCTAGGGCAGTGCCCCATCCCGGCCTGTCCCTGGATGCCCCTATGTGCACGTCCCGCGGGCCCCAAAACATCAGCCTCCCGTCTGCCTCCGGAACCACCTCTGAGTGCCGCGGTGTGTCAGGTCCCGGGTGGGGCTGCAGATGCGGACAGGACACACCTTGGGTCCTACTGCAGGGTGACTGCAGGCCCGGACGAGGCCCCAGGGCGCAGAGCGAGCGGCAGGTGGTCAGGAAGATGGTGCCCGTCTGACACTCCCGTGGCTCTTCTCATTCCCCCATCCTTCCTCTTCCTACTTCTGGTTTTAGTAGGTACGTTTCTTCGGAGGGCCTTACATTTTAACTTTCAAGCCACAGTGTACGTTTAAGGTAGGTGGGTCCCGGCAGTGCCCCGAGCTCAGCAATTTACCGTCCCTTTCCCTCCCTCGGATTCTAAGACCTGGGATCCTTCAATTCAACTTAATACAGATTCGCCCAAAAGCAAACTGGAGAGGACGGTGACCAGATAAATGACACTTCTCAAACTCAGCCAAGGAGTTCGTCTGGGCGGCAGGGGTGCCCACACACCTGCATCCTGCCAGACTCCAGTTCCTACCAGTTCCCGCTCTGCCATCCAGGGGGGAGACCTGGTCTGTGGCCTGGGATGGGGGTCCTCAGGGTGCTCACCCTGCCCCGCGACGCCCTGAACCCATCAGATGTGCACCCACAACTGTGGAGAAGCCGGATGCTCGGCTCCTGTAACCAGGGGCACCTGCCCCGCAGACACCGTGCACCTGAGCCCAGACGGCGCGCGTCACCCCGAGTTACCTGAGAAGTCGTATCTGATGAGCCCCATCCACCGCTTCTTCTCGCTGTCCTTGATGATGTCCCCGTAGAAGCCGTACCCCAGGAGGGACACAGAGTACCGGAGCAGCGTGCTGTTGTGATGAACGGAGGACACGTCCATGGGCAGCGAGTCCCCTGCGGGAGAGAGACGGTGCCCTTTCCAACCGACACGGCGCCTCCTTCCACCCCGGACAGGGCCTCGCAAGTACACAAGGACCCAGATGATTAGGGCCCCCGGGGGGCTCAGCGGGTGAGCATCTGCCTTCGGCTCAGGTTGTGACCCCGGGGTCCCGGGGTCGAGTCCCGCAGGGAGCCTGCCTCTCCCTCTGTGTCTCTGCCTCTCAATCTGTCTCTCTCATGAATAAATAAATAAAATCTCTAAAAAACAAAAAAAAAGACCCAAAGGATTAAGATATAAAGCAGGCAAAGGGCAGTCAATGCAACAGGCTCTGCTCCTGGGGCACCAGGCACCTGCTCTTCCTTCAAATGACAGGATTTGACTAAAATTTCCAAAACAGGTTTGGAAAGCTGTCCTGGAGGGACAGAACCACGATGGCCCGTGAAGCGTGTCCCGTGCCGCTAACGGAAGGGGAATTTGACAATGAAGAGAAGGCGCCAGCATCCTACCCTAGATCATCGTAAATGGGCGACTCGTCAGCAGCACCTGTGCAGTTTTGGGTAACATGTGAGCCGCCCTGGTGTCAGGGACACGAGTGCGCCGCGTGCCTGCTGTGCAGGGGCCAAGGCCGTGTGGGCAGCACGGGGCTGCTCCTGGCTGAGGCGGCGACTAGCCGCACAGGCGGCCTCCTGCCCTCGGGCCGAGTGTGCAGGTGCACAGTAGAAGCCACATGCAAGGGGCATCGCGGGCACCACAGATTCGGGCCTGGGCAGCCTATCTTGATGGGGGCAGGTGGCTGAGTCCGACAAAGAGGGTCGGCCGGGCCTGCACATGGGGACATTGAGGCAGCTGGGCGGGCACAGGGTGCCTGTGGCTGCAGATCGGGGCACCCGCGTGTGCCCAGCGAGCTCCCAAGCCTGCCGCCCGCACACAGCTTCTCACACGGCCCGTGTCTGCTGGGAGGGGACCTACCCACGATGATGTGCAAAGCCGACGTTTCTGCATCGTTTGTGCCAACAGTGGAAAAACACACACAGTCTGTTGACCCTAAAGAAGAAAAGAGAAGAAGAAGGCCCTTAACGTCAATACAATGATTTAACATCGTGGCAGGCTTCCCCCGGAGGGCTGCGCACCTCCCGTTGGCCCAGGAAGGACTCGACGCCATCTGTACAAAGCCAACACCGGAAATACTGACAGGAACTCATCAGAAATGCTGAGACCGGCCTTGCAGCAATCCCAACCAGCTCCTTGCAGGGCGTTCAGAGACTGCTCTTCAACCCCGGCCTGGGGAGTGGAGCCCCAACAAATGTGCGCTCCACACAGTGCTTGTGTCCCCTGCACACACCAGTGGCCCCAGGACCCACAGGCACCAGCACGGAGACATCACCAGTGGGAAAGTGTGTGCAGGACGAGGACAACCTGGGGAGGTCCTGGAACAGCCCCGCGGAGCCTGCACCCCAACATTGGCTCCCCGGCTCACAGAATACACTGAGGCCTCCCTGGGTCACAGGGGCGCAGCAGCCACCACCTGATCCGGGAGGGGAGCACAGCCCTCCCACTGACATGCTTGTCTGTAAATGGGGCGGGGGGGCGGGGTGGGTGACCTCAGAGCACCGGCCAGTGCCAGGATCCCCAGGGCCTGGTGACAATGCTACGGACCATCCCTCACTCCATCCCGCTAACTGGGTCAGAATCCAGGTCAGCGTCCCCAGCCTGGGGGGCAGAGACTCTCCTGGGCTGCTTATTTATAACAGAGATTCCTGAGCCCCTCCGCCCCCCGAGATCCTGACCCAGCGGGCCTGGGACGGGGCCGAGCGGTCTCAATTTTAAAGATGTCGGCTAACCAGCTGGAAGGGCCTCGTGTGCATTTCCCAGGAATAAGGTGCATGGCAGACCCGGAACACAGTGTTGCCACAGGCACAGATGGGGCACAGATGTGGCACAGCCCGATCCACAGGGAACGACCAGCACTAACAGGCCCGAAGCCTGGGCGCCACCTGCGTCCGGATGCCCTGCCCTCAGGCCCCACAATAATCTAGGACTCTGGTCCTAAGTGACGGCCCACGAGGCTGGAAGGCTGCAGGTTCCTGGCAGTCGTGGTGGATTGCAAGCACCTGTGTTGTGTCTGAGGGTAACAATCTGCTCGGCTTGTGTCCGAGGGGAGGCTCTGGATTATTTCATTGAAGCAGACATATGGCTGCTGATTGCTGGTAAGTCATACAGACACACACACCTGTTTTTAATATGTTTTTCTCTTTTTGTTACTTGTAACTTGAAGACTTTGCTGAGATCTCATTCCGAAAATGAGTCAAAATGTAAAAATTTTTACATGAACATTTAAGACCATGGGAGTGAGCAAATCTTAATAAAAATTAAGAGCAACGGGATCTAAGAAAACCCGTGTGGCCCCCGACCCTCCCACACCCTCATCTTCATGATGCACAGTGCTCGGATAGCCAGCATGCACATTTCTGAGACAATAAATGCAAAAAAACCTATTTAATTATCGTGGACTATGCCCCAAGGTAGTTCTTCACATCCCCAGAACCTTCCGGAACGTCTGCAGAGCCCACTGGCTCCCCTGGCATGCCCAGGGACACGGGCTGATGCGACTCCCAAACTGGCCTGCATGCACAGAGGTGGGTCTCGTAGCATCAGCAGGAACCCGACAAAGATCATGGGTAAGAATGAAGCAGGGAGGAGCGTCCAGTCCCCCCAACTCCCCGGGCTGGAGCTGTGCTGCGCACGGAGGAGCCACAGCAAGCAGAGCCTCGAGGTGGAACTTCACAGGGCTCAGGTCTGCACGTGCAGGGCGCCCGGCATGACCACAGCGGCCCTGGTGACCACCCACCTCCCGGAGGGCACCTCGCCGTCCCGAAGCTGGAGGCGCTGGGTCCAAGGGGGTGTGGGTGGCACGCGGTGAGGCGCCCGGTCTTCCTGATCAGGGATTTTCAAAGGCGCTCGTCGCTCACCTTACAGCCTACGCTCAGGACCTGTCACGGGCCCACCACCCTCCGCCTGCACCTGCCAGCCCGGCCCTGCCTCTTGCTCCCTGCGCCCTGCTGGAGCCACCGTAACCCCAAGGCAGGGCTGTCCTCACCAGGTTCCAGGTCTCCCACCAGCGTCACTGCGAAAGGCCTCCTGGAGCCCCGTGTGTCTGTAACGGCGTGCCCCTCTCCCCGCCACCGGCCTGCCCTCTGTGTCACGTGCCCGCGGTCTGCCTCCCCGCACCCCGGGCCCCCGTGCAGAGAGCACCATGAACCCCCGGCTGAACGAGCCAGAGCTCCAGGGAGCCTTCAGCTCGCAGGGCCAGCCTGGCGCAGCCGAGGGGCCGGCAGACGGGTCCACACAAACAGCCCGGCCTCCTCGCCCCACGGCCCCATTCCTCCTTGTAACTTTCAACAGCTCATCCCTCAGGTATGACATCATTTCCTCAAACGTCTGTGCGGCCCAGGCCTTACCACAAGGAAGCCCCAGCCGGACACGCGAGGTCTGGCTCAGATCAGGCATCAGGACATGGTTCCGGCTCCACCTCCGGCAGACAGAGCAACGTCCCTCCCGAGGCGGGGGGCATGGCTGTGCGGCGCCGGGCAAGACAGGAGGACAGCGGAGGGGACCACGTCCTGCCCTACACCGGCCCTACCTCTCGATCTTAAGTGGAGAGCCTGAACTTCGGAAACCCCAGCACGGGACTCCGCGGCTGGAGCTCTGAGGACCAGCTGGGCCCTGGACCACCCGACCCACCTCGGCTGCCCGGCCATCCAGACCCCACACCCCGGTTCTGCGGCCCCCAGGAGCCTCGTCTCAAATCTCCACCAGAACTCTCGCCCCCACTCTGGTGCCTCGTCCCGGCCCCCCCAGGTTACTGAGATCAACGTCGCGGGGTCCCGGGTGCCTCCTTCACCCTCACTCCATTGATTCCTGTCGCCTCTGTGGCAAAGCCACACCCCAGCCACAGCCAACCCTTGGCCACTCGGGACCCTGGCGTCCTCCCCGGGGCTTGGCTGGCCCGCCCAGAGCAGGGCACAGGAGTGCGCTTTAGCAGCCCACCCAGACGACACCGCCCGCCGGCCTCCAGGGCCTCCTCCCGCTGCAGCTCACCGAGTGGCCTCAGGACTGAGCCGCGAGCTGGGCCCCCGCCCTGACCCGTTAACCCACTCCTGGCGCCCCTGCCACGCGGGGCCCTGCTCATTCCCACCCGCCCCGCCCCAGCTGACCCTCAGCACACCAATGTCCCAGCACGGCGGGCCCCAACCTGTCACCTCCCAGAGGGCCCTGGACCACCCACCGAGGGAAGCCCCCCAGCCGCTGCCCCGAACCGTCTCCTCCACAGCAAGCCCACTATGGAAACCCTCCTACACCCACGTTTCCTTGTGGGGGGGGGTCTCCTGCGTGGGCAGAGGCCACAGCACCTCGTTCTCTGTGACCCCCAGGCCCAGGACCCACACGGAGGCTCGGTCCGTCCTCACGGAGCTCCTGCGCTCCCTCCAAATGTCGGAGGTACAGGGCTGCTGTGGGCAAACGGCCACGCGGGACGTCGAGGAAGAAGCATCCAGCAGGGAGAATACGGAACGTCAGGTAGCCCAGGACAGACCACGCGCAGAGACAAAAGACAAAGCCTGACTTGGGCAAGAAGCTGGGAGCTACAAGCAAGACGCGCGATTACTACACAAACGACAATAGCCAGTGGGGGGGGGGGTGTCAGACTCCTCCTGGCTGGGGGGCAGGCACGCATCCACGCCCCCAGTGACTTGGCACCTCCTGCACGGAGCCGTCCTGGCAACGAAACGACATGACGCATGCCTGGCGCACAGCCAGCCCGGGACCGAGGGGCCGCAGCGCAGACTCAGGGCGCCAGACACAGGTGCCTCCTCCCTGCTGCGCTGTCTGCAGAGCCTCGAACCAGCACTGCGCAGGCTTCACTTAGCTCAGCACCGTGATTTTTCAGAGAACTAGGTACTTCCTAGAAAGACAAGGGGCGCTAAGCTAGGGCGCCTGGGAGGCAGTCGGTTGGGCGTCCGACTCTTGGCTTCGGCTCAGGTGGTGACCTCGGGGTCATGGGATCGAGCCCCACATCAGGCTCCACATTTGGCAGGGAGTCTGCTGGAGATTCTCTCCCCCTCATCCCCCTCAAATAGATAAATAAATCTTAAAAAACAACAACCCACCCTGAGCCACACCCCTCCCCAGCTGACACAGGAGCGCGCCCGCCCCAGTGCGTGACCTGCCCCCGGCCCCCATCACCCCCCAGTCTGGGCTATAGGCCACTTCCAGAAAACCACCTGCTTCCTGGGCTTCCTTCCCTCTCGATGTGCTCCGGGTCCCCACACCCCCTGGTCCCCTCGTCCCCGCCAGCTGGTCAGTCCTCGACAGCTGACTGTCCCCCGGCTGCCAGCTTCTCAGCGCCCATGGAAGCGAGCGTCCGGGGAAGGAGGACCCGATTCCCTCAAACACTTGGTCGTAAACTGTCCCTCAGGAAATCTGCCCCCGTGTGGGGTAAGATCACCGTTCCAGAAACAGAAGGGCCCTGAGGGAAGCTGAGCCTGCTGCCCCAGGGCGGGGGCGCCCCACCTGCGGGGATGATGCCGATCCTGAGCGGGCTGGGCACCAGCGCTGCCCTGGGCTGGTTCTGGTCCACGCCGGCGTTCCTCTGCGTCCTGCCGATCAGGCCGTGCAGGATCTCGCTGAACATGCCGTCTCCACCGACGCAGACGATTCTGCAGGGGACACGGGTAGTTAGGGTCCCTGCTGCTGTCCCCACAATGCCTCACTCTCCACTGCTTGTCGTGGCGGTCCTGAGAAGGACAACTGGGTGGCGGGTTGTGTGGCCAAGCCAGAGCCCACCTAGGCCCCCGGCACGCGTCCCCGTGCTCCCTGCGGCCACCCTGGGCTCCCATGTCCCCCGGGCTACAACAGCTGCCACCAATTGGGGTCTTACACCCGTTCCCTCCATCGGGGCTTCTTCCCCCGCTGCCAGTGGCTCCCCGGTTCCCGCTGTGGCCACAGGAGGCCAGGCTCTGAGAGGCCATGAGGCCAGGGCTGGGACTGAGCCTCCGCCCCGCTGTGTCCCGTGGGCCCTGCTCATCATCCCTTCTTCCTCAGCCCCCAAGCAGGTGCTTTTCTTCAGGCCAAACTGCTAAGAAATAAGCAGACGAAGCAAAAGCAAAACAGCCTCTCCCTCCACTCCACCTGCCCGGACCTGGGCCTCCACACCCCCCAGGGGTTCTGGAAGCTGGCACCAGGCTCCCACCCTTGCTGACACTCCCTGCCACCTCCTGCACTGCTGTTCCAGGTGCGGTCGCCTGCCCTTCGCCCCACTCGTCCTCGAGGGGGACTGACCAGCCTCTACTCCCGGGACCTCTCTTCTGGGTCACTTCTCACATGTCTGATGTCCCGGGGGCACGGCCGCCTACTGGAGGCCCCAGCTCGGGACAGCCCTGAGGCAGGGGCACTCGTGACCAGGAGCCCCACTCAGAGGTGGCCCTGTGGGCCCCGGTCACGCCACTGGTGAGGCGCAGGCCAGGGTCAGACCGGCAGCCCTGGAGCTGCCCTAACCCTCATGCTGCCTGGACGCCAGGGGCCGACCCGCCCAGCTGAGCCCTCGGCTCACGTTCTCCACACTGGCTGCCCTGCTGTCTTCAAAATCAACTTCAATTCCTTATCTCATGGCTTGGTAACGTCACTGTCACTTGGGTGAGGAATCCCTCCACGTCTTCTGTAGGATTAGGTCACCAGGACCAGTCAGTCCGTTCTCCCCGGACGTGCTGGAGACCATCTGACCCTCTGTGCCTGTCCTCCACACCATCCAGCCAGCCCTGCCCACAGCCCGGAACCTCCTTCAGCCTGCCTCAGCCTGGCTCCGATCCCACGGCCTCAGTACTTGCCACACGGCTTTCAGGAGGATCCTTCCAACACGCTTGGTCCTCAGGACCTGATCGCGAGCTCCCTGGAACCTCACCGCTGCAGAGGCAGTCGCCCTTCCCCAGGGCTCGAGTGCTCCTTCGCGGAGCACCTGCCCCGTGCGCCTGCCTCTGCCAGGGGCCGGGGAACAGCTGCGCACAGGACCAAGGGCACCGGCCTCCCGGGGCTGCAGGCGCAGACTCACATGGGAGGCTGGCCGGAAGAGCACAGCAGCCCCTGGTGTCACGTGGCCAAGCACACACACCACCAGGGCGAACGAGAGGGAACATGCAACACACCAAAACCAAGGGACGCCACAAACAACTGGTCTATACTCTCAAAAACTCCGCCACCCCAAGAAACGCTGCGGAACAGCTCCAGGTCTGAGACTAGAGTGCTCGCGACAGAGTCCAAGGGAGGCAGGTCCAGGTGTCTTCCTGCCGTAAAGGAAACGTGGGACACACGGCGGGACCCAGAGGACGCAAGAGCACTGTGTCCGTGTGGGTGCCTGGATTATCACAGTGTTCTGGTTCTGTAAGAATGTCCTTGGTTTTAGGAAATATGCAAATATTTAGGGACAAAGGGTGACCGTGTCTGCAGCAGACTTTCAAAGGATTCCAAAAAGGTTCATCTGTGTATGTAGGTAGTAAGACGGAGAAGGACAACGGTCAGTGGGGGTCTCCAGGTCATTGAAGAAGGTGGGACAGAACTTTGCTGCGGTTTCTAACTTTTCTATAATTACAATCCAGAATAAAACGAAGGGCAGGAAGGGAACCACAGTGAGACAGAAGGGTGAAGCCAGATACCACCCACTACATACACGTCAGGGGAAAAGAAACCTTACCCATCGTATTTGTCTATGTTGATCTCATACAGACTCTCCTTGGCCTGATTCGCACGTTCAGTAACTGTGGGAAGAAATAACATGACGTTGTACAGTCTGCCTTCAAATCTGAGAATCCAATTTAAAATAAAAAGCAAGCAATTCTTAAATGAGGTCCTATAAAATCCTCAGGAGGGTTTCCTGCAGGAAGTCCCTCTTCGGAGAGGGGACGCTGACCTCAGTGGAAGGTGACACCCTCGGGACACGTTCTGCTGCCTAAGACGTCACATCCTTGGCACCTGAGCGCCGACAAACAGTAACTCTTTGGAAAGAGATTACATCTTCTAGTTGAGAGTAATAATTTTCCTTATTATCCAAGCTATGTTGACATTTTTAATTAATTGAATTTAAATAAAACAATTTTTTAAAGAATTTACTTATTTATTCATGAGAGACACATGGAGAGAGACAGAGATGTACGGAGCTTGATGCGGGACTCGATCCTGGGACTCCAGGATCATGCCCAAAGGCAGATGCTCCACTGCTGAGCCACCCAGGTGTCCCTAAATAAAATAAAACTTAAACACAAAGAAAATTCTAGGATACCTCAAGACGTGAGAAAAAGAAAACGTTAGCCTACGGTCTGTGTACTCAACATAAGAAACCAGCACAACAGAAACTCTAGTGAGTGTCGTCTCGTACCCCAGTCTTATTTTATCATAACCACTCTTTTCCAGTGAAAAGTTCTCGGTAATGACCTGTCACAGGCCCACGTGCTGCCCTTTGGGTCCACGGCACAGTGGTGTCTCCACATTTCCTGTCAGCAGACGTTTACGCAGCTCCAGCATTTGCTGTTACAAAACATGGAGTGCGCATCTGTGTGCGCCTGTGCACCGAGTGCTGACCCAGGAAGAACGAGAAACCCAGCATGTGGGGCAAACCCTCCCATTTTTAAGGTTCTTTGTCCATGCTGCCAGCGGCCCTTCAGTACGTGTGCACAGGCCTCAGGGCACAGGGTCGGGGTGGGGGGACACTGTCTCCACGTCCAGCTTCTAGAGTCTGTACTAAAAGCCTGGTGCCACAAACAGGGCACCCCATTATGTTTCTTCAAGCGTCGCCTATGGGTAAAATTATTTCCAAGTCTCATGAATTGCTTGTATTTCTTCTGGCCAGAATTTTCTGTCCATGAGCTTTACCCTTTCATCTTCCTAGTGTATCTCGAGTGCTTTTTATGTTAAGACCAGGAGGAATAACACTCGTTATTCTGTGTTGTTCTCATTCTCGTATATAAAACGACACGTTTCAGGACACCTGGGGGGCTCCGTGGTTGAGCGTCTACCTTCGGCCCAGGGCGTGATCCTGGGGTCCTGGGATCGAGTCCCACATCGGGCTCCCTGCATGGAGCCTGCTTCTCCCTCTGCCTGTGTCTCTGCCTCTCTGTGTCTCTCATGAATAAATAAAATCTTAAAAAACAAATAATAAAAAATAAAACGACACATTTCACCTTGCTTAAAATAATCTTGTAAGATGAAAGTCTTGTCCAGTGACCACACTTGAATCATTCTCAAATTTAGTCCCATATATTTAACAGAGAATTTATACATTACCGATTATTTCGGTGGTGATGGAGGCTAGCGTAAACAACGGGGCCACTTTCCTCTCATATATCCGCTTGCCTTGTCCTTTCCCGCCAAATGGGTTAATAAACACCAGTAGATGCTTTGGTCTTGATGCTATGAAACAACAACAACGTGTAAGTCACAGTGGATGCAACAAATACTCAACATGAAGGATCATGTTACTGAACAAAACCAAACCGCTGTGGTTTGAGAACTCTACGTGGTATCACCCGGTAAAAAGTGTGTTTCAGTTACGGAACGGTGCTACGGAGCTTCCTCGTCGATGGAGAGGGAAGCGACAGCCTGTGTGAACAGGCAGGAGCTTTGTCTATCTACCAGCGGCTGCGTGAGCAGCCCCAGGCTTACGATACTGCCTGAGACGGATGCTGGCTCCCGAGGAAGCATCCTACGAATGTGACTCTGGAAGGTGGGAACAGCCTCGCCTTCCTCGATTGAAGGAACATGAATCTGCAGAGAACAGGAAGAGACAGACAGACAGGCACAGCCAGAGGCCGACACGGGGATGGATGGAGAGACAGATGGACCGTGAGATGCGGACAGACCCCAGCCCCCGGTTCAGTTCCCTGCAGAGAACTCCTATGTTCCTATTTTCTCATCACACCTATGTTCTTACAGGAACTCCTACATTTCTGTTGAGGCCACTTCAAATTGATTCTGATACTCAAAAAAAAAAAAAAAAACTTTAAGGAACAAATCAATAAAAGTTGCAAGAAAGTATACACCCAAGAACACTGAAAACCTAAATCCAGGCAAAATCCTGCATGTGGAAGTTCACAGCAGTGCCATTCACGACAGCCCCAGAGAGAAGGCACCCCGAATGTCTGGAGGCTGACGCAGCAGATGTGGTCTAGCTACGCGATGGAGTATTATTCGGCAATAAAAAAAGCACAAAGTACTGGTGTACGAACCAACACGCATCCATCTCAAAGCCTAAAAGCACTCTTCGAAGGGGCCGCGGTGCTGTGATTCCATCCACGTGGTTGGTGGCTGTCCCTGCACTGACAGGAAGGATCCTGAGAAAAGTCTCCCAGGGGTTGGGCAACACAGCTGTGCGGGTGTATGTCCAGCACCACTGATTTCAATTCACGATCTGTCCACCCCACCGCACGGGAGTTCTAGCTCAGAACTCTCTAGCTCATGAGGTGCCTGTGAGGTGTTTAAAGGTGAAGCACCCCATGGGACGCCTGGGTGGCTCAGCGGTTGGGCATCTGCCTTCGGCTCAGGGCGTGATCCTGGGATCCAGGATCAGGTCCACGTCGGGTTCCCCGCAGGGAGCCTGCTTCTCCCTTGGCCTGTGTCTCTGCCTCTCTCTCTCTCTGTCTCTCATGAATAAATAAATAAAATCTTAAAAAAAAAAAAAAGGTGAAGGACCCCACATCCGGGACTTACTCTGAAACTCAGCAAAGAGCACAATTAAAAAACAGATAGAGACACAGATGCTGACAAAGCAGAGGCTGCAAACCATCAACCGCTGCAGAATCTAGGCGGTGGGAATGTGTGCTTCTGGTACAGTTCTTGCAATTTTTCTGTATGCTTAAAACCTTCATAATAAAATGCTGAGGGGAAGGTACGGCAGAGAAAATCAACAAAGCTGAAAGCTGGTTCTTTGAAAAGATTCATAAAATTGACAATTCCCTCATAAAGCTGCTACAGACCAAGGGAGAGAAGACAAATCACTAATTATCAGGAATGAGAAAGGGGACAGGACTCCAGAGTCTGCACATATTACAAGGAAAGTGAAAGGACTTCTTAAAAATGAATTTGTAAACTTGGATGAATGGACAGATTTTCTCAAAAAATACAATTTACCAAAGCTGGCGGAAGCAACAAGAAATCTGAGTTCTCTGATACTTAATGAAGAAACCAAAGTCATTGACGAAAACCTCACAAAGACTTGCCTCCAGGGATTTAAGGAAAACCACAGCCCCGATACCATACAAACGCTTCCCCAGAACAGAAGGAAGGAGCACCCCTTAGCTCCCACATGGGGCCACGAACACCTGATAGCAGAACCAGACAAGGACGCTGCCAGAGACTCACGCATGGCCCTATTTCTCCCCTGAGCCAAGGCGCAGAAATCCCAAACAAAGAATCAGCAGTCAACTCCAGAAATACGTAAAAAGAGTTGACAGGTCATGCCCAAGTGGGTTCCATGGGAATACAACGGCTTTTACACAAGAGAAACCAATGTTCTTAACACATTAACTCAGAAAGAAGACAATCACACCAGTGCCTCGAGAGATGCAAAAAGCATTTGTCAAATTCAACAATCAGCCATGCTTTGAGAAAAAAAACAAAGTCTAGAAAGCTAGGAATTAGAAAAGATCTTCCCTAATATGTTTTTTTCCTCATTTTACAATTTTTATTCATTTTTATTTTTTAAGTAATCTCTCCACCCAGCGTGGGGCTTGAACTCCAATCTTAAGATCAAGAGACCTGCTCTGCCAGCTGTCCCCTTAATATGTTCTTTTAATCTATTAAAAACCCAAGAAATATCATTCTTGACAGTGAAATGTTGGAAATCGCCCCCTGAGAGCAGGACTGAGACGACCTTCCCTGCTGGGACCCACACAGGGGAGAAGTGTCAAGAAAGAAAAAGAAGATGCATGAAACAGGAGTGTCATTATTCCCAGGTGATATGATTCTCTCAAAGAAAATCCAGAAGAATCATCAATCTATTGAAATGAATAAGTGAATTTAGCAAAGTTATTGGATGCTGAGTGAAATTCAATCCAAGTTCTACACAGAAGCAGTAAGCGAAGATCAACATAGTGGCCTTGCAGAGCAGCCGGGAAAGGACTGTCCTTCCCATCGACAGCAGGGGGTCGAGCAGGAACCTCTATTCAAATAACCCTTGACCCCTCACCCTACGCTACGCACAAAAAACAACTCCGGATGGACTGAGGGTCTAAATGTGAAAGGTAAAACAAAGTTTTGAGGAGAAAATATCTTTATGGCCCTGGAGTAGACAAAGATGTCAAATAGGACCCAAATTAAACTAGAGGGAAAAAGAGAGAGAGAAACAGAACTACACTGAAGTCAAGGATGTCTGTTCATCAGCAGACACCAAGAGTCAAAAGGCAAACCACAGAACGAGAGAAGTTACCCGCAATTCGTAAATCCAATAAAAGATCTGGATCCATAATATGCAAAGAATATCTATGTAACATTAAGACAACAGAAAAATGGACAGAAGACTTGAACAGGCTCCTTACAAAAGAGGATTTCCAAATGGCCATAAACATAGGAACGGATTTCTCAGCTTCAGTTGCCATCAGGGAAATGCAAATTAACAGGGCAAGACTACTAACACCCATCAGGACAGCTACAACTTGTAGGGCGTGAGCAAGATGCGGGGCAACCAGAACTCTGCTACCCTGCTGGTGGGAGTGCTGCTGGCCCTGCCGGTTTGGAGGACAGTCTGACGGCGCCTACGAGGTTGAATGCACGCAGGCCATGTGCCCCAGCCAGTCTACTCCCATGCACACAGCCAAGAGAACAAGCATGCGTCCAGCACAAGGCATGTACCAGAATGTTCAGAATGGCACTGTGTGTAACAGCCCGCAGCAGGGAGCTGTCCCCATGACCGTGAACAGCAACGCAGACACACCCACGTCGCGGGTGGAGGACCATGCCACCAACAGGACGGGCGGCCGACACCAAACACCGTGACATGGATAAGCTCCACAACCACAACGTTGACCCGAAAAGCCAGACACAGGAGCTTCTGTGGTATAATCGCATAAGTACGAAGCACAAAAGGAAGCACCAGTTGTTCAGGAGCTAGGCAGAGGACTGCAGGGCCCGGCGATGTTCTGTTTCTGGGTGTGGATGCTGGTCACTCGGGAGCCCCCAGTGTGTGACTGCTCCCGGGGCTGCCCGCTCGGGATTGGGGCGCTTGCCTGGGTCTATGCTACTTAGCACAGGCATTAAACACACAACACAGAGTTCAAACTACAGAGCAGTTAGGTGGAAAGTAAACCTCCACGATTTAACGGGGGGCAGGTTCAGAGCCAGAATCTCAAGACACAAATTCTCAAGGCAGTGACACAAATTCTCAAGGCAGTGATGGGGTGGGGCCGAGGGCTGGGGGCAGGAAAGGAGCAGGTGAGGACGAGGAGGAGGCCGAGAGATGAAGGCAGTCTCCTGGGCAGACTCGCACAGAAGTCAGGAGGGACATGCGGGACAGAGCGCCCACGGTGCGTCAGGCGAGGTGACGTCGGCAGCCACGCCCTGGGCACGTAAGGAGCACCGTGTCCCACGGGATGAGGTGGTAAAACACAGAAGCACGTGTCCTGCCGCCCAAACAAGACGCAGAGGTGAGCCTTCTGGAGCGAGGACGCGTATCAGAGCTGGTGTCTGGGCAATACTGCCTTCAAATAAGTTATAATGCACTTTTTTGATCCAGATGCCAAATTAATTGAAAAAGACCGAAAACCACCCCCCTCGCATGCTGTTTCCATACTATGGTTAAAGCTTGTGCTGAATTGACCAGATTATGTCTTGAGATTATAACCGAAGAGTGCGAAACAGGATTCCAGACACAGACCATCTCCCACGGAGCGGCAGAGACTCCCGTTACCCAGCAACCCATCCGCACCTGGGGGCTCACCCCAGATGTTTGGAGGCGTGCCCCACCCCCGTTCCCTGGCTTGCTCCCCACGTTCACCTGAATTACAGGTGTCCCCATCCCTGCTTCCCAGAAATAGAAACCAAGGCTCAGCAGCCAAGGGACCTGGGCCTCATCTCGCAGCCCCAAGACACCCCGCCCGCGAGGCCACGGTGGGGACAGCACACTCTGCTAGGCTGGTCCTCTACCCTGTACGTTGGTAAAGTTTTAAAAGTCACACGGATTTGCGCTGCACTTGGTTACAGGCAGCTGTGCAGAAGGCAGGAGAAACAGCAAAGGCCAGAGCACACACGCTTTCCAGGAGCACAGACACACGCACGTACTGAGCTTGTCCAGCAGCTCCTGCAGGGTCTGCAGCCACAGGTGACACAGCGGCTCCTCAGCACAGCAGAAGGTCACCTGCGCCCACTTCCAGCGGTGGCGTCGGGCTCTCTTCACACAGTGCACTGCAGAGACAGACCGGGCAGCAGGTCAGGGCACAGCCCGCACCCCGCGCCCCTCCTGCCTCCTGCCGACCCAGGGACTTCCCAGACATTAGGAGAAAGACCTATTTCTCAGTTATTTTAACCAATGTTTAAAAAAAACAAAAGAAAAAACAAAGTAAGAAACCAGATGATCAAAACATCAGCTAAAAGTATATCCTGGAAAAAAATCATAGAAGGCAGTTTCTAAAAATTAAAAAAAAAAAAAAAGGAAAGAAACACTGAGCTTGTCAAACAGGTGATGAAAAGGTCGCCTTTCACTCAAATCTTTGTGAGATGAGTGAAGACGGGGAGGGATTTTGCATCTTCACCTGTGAAAGCGAAGGGCTTCTCCATCTTTTGCCATTTCCCGCTGCCGTAGTGCTTCCCACGAGTGTCCGTCTCTTCCACGGTGATAATCTCCGAGATAGGCACCGAGCAGGCATCTGTAAAGACCACGTCACATGCGTCACATGCACTTCACAGAGGCCACATGAACACAGGAAGTGCATTCTACGACGCTGGGACCGGTCTGCTTTAATATTCTCCTTAGGAATCCAAAAGTAAAAAAAAAAAAAAAAAAAAAAAAGCAATCACTCGTAGTTTTAAATGCAGAACTAAATGAATTTGGAAACTCCGTGTTATCGGAAGACGGGCTGTTTTATCCCACAGTCACCAACCTCAGAGACTGCCAACCTCTCAAATGACCCGCTCAGCTGACTCCTCGGGCCAGATACTGTGTTAAGTTTGGGGGAAGGTGTTCAAGACGCAGCATCTGTCCTCAGTCTGCCTCGGGGATCCAAGTGGGAAGGAAGCACACGGTGCGTCCCGGACGAGCAGGACCCAGGGCTGCTGGGTGTGCTCCCCACCGAGGCGGAGGCCAGGGGTGGCCAGGGGCTCTGGAAAGGCCTGGGGGGTCCGGACAGATGTGGGAGGTTAAGGCCTGCAAGGGCCTGGGGGAGGATAGCAGTCCATGTTGCGCACTGCAGGGAAACCCAGGAGGAGGCCGCCCCGTGGAGCTGCTGTGCTTGTACCCAGCTGGGGGTGGGAGCTGGCAGGTGGTAACTAAACCCGGAGCCTGGGGGGCACGGAGTGAGACCCAGGACATCGAGCCCCCTCTGCACCGGCTGCCTCCCGGAAGCGCATCTGCGAACTGCTGTTAGGATTTACGATCTGTTTTTACACAGAAGAGCGTTATAATTTGTGGTTTAGTCCCAAGTTGGCTATAAGACCTGCAACGGGGCCAAAGCGCTCTATTTTTGTAGCAGCTCATGGAAAACTCCTGCTGTGGCACTTCAGCAACTCCACGTCATCGTTTTGAAGTCACTGCCTGTGGAGGCCAAGTTCTAAGACGGGGAAGCCAGCATGCCGATGGCCCTGGCCTTAACGGGCCTCAATGGGCCGGGAGGGTGGTCCCGCCAGGCCAGATGTGGCCAGGTCAGGGGAAGAGAGCCTTTTGCAGAGGAACCAGAAGTGGGCCTCGGAGGGCGGTGTGGGCTCCCATGCACCAGGTGTCTGTGGCCAGGGTGGCTCAGGGCCCTGCTGTTGGGCACCCTGCCCTCAGCCAAGCCCCTCACCGCGGCCTCCCTCCTGGGCGCCTGTCCTCTCACTCCCTCCTGAGCACCCATCTTCTCCCTCCCTCCTGGGTGCCCATCTACACCCCCCCCCCCGCCCACTGCTGCCAGCCCCGCAGGCTCCCTGCCACCAGCTCCCATCCCACAGCCTCCTCAATCCCAATCCCGGGGGTGCTGGCCTGCCTCCTTTGAGCCCCGCCAAGTCCACACCAATGTATCCTGGCACCCCTCCTCCCCCTGGCCCGCCTCCTGCAGGAGATGCCAGGTGTCTGTCCCGGTGGCAGGCCAGGCTCACCGCAGGGATGGTTCAGGAGTGCGGTGGGAGGAGTCAGGGATCAAACACTCACAGGGAGATCTCGGAGATCTCAGACGGTGGAGAATAGGCGTCAGGATCCCCCAGGCCCCCGGGGGGTCACTACCACACTTGGGCCTGCCTGATGAGAAACAGTGGAGATGATATTACAATAACTAGGAGGGCTGCGCTTCTCAGTACTCACACAGTGCGGCTTAAAAAACCGTGTAAGAGGTGAAGACAACAGTCACACCTGACTCACAGGATAACCTACCTGAGAGACAGTCTGCACGTTAATAATTCCTACCCGTGCTAGCTGGCCTGACAGCCTCCAAACCGAAGGGGGACACATGAGATGTCCCGATGCCACCCCCGCCTGCTGCGCCAGTGCCCGAGCGCCCCCGGGTGGTCCCCTGAATCCGTTTCATCGCACACAGCCGTGAGGGGACTAGGCCTCTGGGACCCCTGCAGCCTCCGCTCACTCGGGTACTCCCCGGGCGCCGGACCCCGTCCCCACCGCAGACCCAGTCCCGCCTGCCCACACCTTCTGGGGGAAACTGTCACAGAGGGAGCACATCGAGCTGATGTCAGGATGACAGTGCAGGGCTGGACGCGGTGGGGATGGGCTCAGGGTCAGGGCAGGGACTGGAGTGGGGCCAGATGCTGCTCAGAAGGTGTCCTGGCCGAGAAGCAGGAGCCCAGGGAGGGACCGGGATGGAAGGCCGGGACGGAGGGACAGAGAGACGCAGGCCCGGGGGAGCCTCCACCGGTGAGCGGGAGCTCAGAGGCTCTGGGCGGAGGGAGGCCTGGTCTGCCTCGGTCTGCCCCTGGGTAACTGAAACGTGGGGGACAGGACGGGACGAGGGACAAGACACAGGGAGGGGCTCTGGGGCGAACCTCCGCGGCTCCCGCTCCCTTCAGCCTACACCAGCCCTCGCTGGTCCTCGGGTGAGACAAGACCAGCGTGTGCAAGCAGGACGTACTATTCCACACCCGCATCACTTCCCACGGAGCACGTATGCGGGAAGACACAGAACTGGCCTCTCCCAAGAGGGACAGAGATGGGCAGGGAGGAGAAAACCCCTCTCCCTGAGGACTGGCAGGAACAGAGTGCAGGGCCCGGCCTGGGGCTGCCCCTCGTGGGAGCACAGGAAGCAGGGCTTGCTGGACGGGGACGCGGACGGGGATGCGGAGGGGGCTCAGCTGGCCGGGGGTGGGGGAGCACCTGAGCCACTGGCTGAGCCTGCATTTCACAACCGTGCATGCAGATGATGGTGTCACGCTAACACGGATCTCAGGAAGTTACCTAAGGTCGGGGGTCAGAGGGGTCCTCCCCTCTGTCCCCCTCGTCTGCGCTCAGCGGAGGACCAGCCTCCAGGGCCCGGGCACTCGTTTCCTCTCCAGTTCACTGCACATGTGCAGCTCAAGAGCAGGAGGCCCTCTTCCTCCAAACTCCCATCTCTAGGAGGCGAAGAGCTCCACCAAGAACGAGGAGATGCCCGCAAGGCCCACAGGACACAGAGCGTCCCCCACTTCCCCCAGTCTGCTCCGAGGGGAGCCCGGGGGGAATCACAGCGGCCCGGTGCGGGCAGCCTCCACCTGCTGGACACGCTGAGCATTAGCCCTGGACCAGGAAACGGAGGGATGCCTTGCACAGAGTTAACGGTAGGGACCAGGTGGAGGGCACATTCACTTCTACCCGAGATTAGCCTAGCGTCTCTACAGTTTGCCTGCATTTTGCCTCGTCTCGCACTGCACGAGAGGCTAGAACAAAAAAGAACCGTCTGTAAAAGAGCAGGCGGTGAGAAGAGAGGTCAGAGGTCCTGCCTTGAGCAAAGGTCACTTCCAGGCCGGAGTGGACCTGGCTGGCAGCCAAGTCGTTGGCAGCAACACACCCCGGCGGGACCAGCCAGGCAAGGACGTGGGGGCCCAGGGCTCAGGCTGGCCCACCCTCCAGCCCGGCCGCCCCCCAGCCCCCCATCAGGGGCGCAGTCCCGCCTGAGCTGGGCCTGTGACGCCCCGAGCACCCCTCGGGTAGACTCACCCCCGATCTTACTCCTCATCACCGCATCCTTCGAGCTGATTGCGGCCCCGGAGCAGTGGCCCAGGCTCACAGGAGTCACCTCTCACCTTATAAAAGTAACCACCTGACACCTCCTCCTGAAAGCTCTCAAGGGGAGCAGGCTTCTGGGATCGGCAGGTACCCCCACGGACACGACAAGGCTGGAAGCCACAAAGCTTCCTGCGCCCAGGGCCTTCAGGCACCTCTTGTGCTGCGGCCGTCCGGCCACTGCTGGATCTGAGCAGCACCCCGGGCTCCCCCGCAAATGCCCAGGGCACCCCCAACATTGCAGGCGTTGGCCAGGGTCTCCTGGGAGCACCGGCCCCAGTAGAGAACCACTGCCCTGGGGCATCACTGTGCTTAGCGACCTGTTGTTTAAACAGAAAACACAGAAGTAAACTAAGGCCACCCCAGGGGTGCAGAGGAAAGGCAGGCCCCCCCAGTACCCTCCCACATCAGAGACCGCCAGGTCCCACGTACACGTGTGCCTGTCCCATGGGTGCCTCATGCCCAACCTGCTAAATCCAAACCCAGGGGACCCCTGGGTGGCTCAGTGGTTTTGCACCTGCTATCAGCCCAGGGCGTGACCCCAGGGTCCCGGGATCGAGTCCCACGTCAGGCTCCCCGCAGGGAGCCTGCTTCTCCCTCTGCCTATATCTCTGCCTCTCTCTCTGTGTGTCTCTCATGAATAAATAAAATATTTTTTTTTTAGATTTTATTTATTTATTGAGACACACAGAGAGAGAGAGAGGCAGAGACACAGGCAGAGGGAGAAGCAGGCTCCACGCAGGGAACCCAACGTGGGACTCGATCCCAGGTCTCCAGGATCACACCCCGGGTCGCAGTCGGCACCAAACCGCTGCGCCACCGGGGCTGCCCGAATAAATAAAATCTTAAAAAAAAAAAAAATCCAAACCCATCCTTTCTAGTGTGCTGCCCCTTTCCAGAGACATTCTTCCCTGCAGCATCTGCCCACCATCCTCCCAGGAGCCCTGCCTTTCTTCCCTCCACCCCCAGCCCGACCCCCCCCCCCCACCGTGCACAATCATCCCTCCCCCTCTCCCAGTGCACGCAGAGGCAAATGTGTCACAATCTTTCGTGGCCTCTCCCACTGTGTTGGGAGGTGCCTGGATGGTGCTGGGACACCCTGCTGCTCACCACGCAGGTTGGCAACACCCCAGGCTGGGGGGCAGCTTCAGAGCCCTTCCCACCACCCACCTCCCGGCAAAGCGTTGCAGGAGCCTGGGGTGCGAGCCCCAGAGCGCTGTCCCCGCTCCCCCCGGAGCATCCCCCAGTCTCATCCCCACGCCTGCACAACAGCCCTCATACAGCAAACACTCTAAACGTCTGTTGGAGTAAATAAGCACAGATGCCCCCAATGGAACTTCAAGATTTTCATCCCAAGTTCAGCCAAATCCTAAAACAGCCTTGTAGAGATTCACGATGTCACTGGTACCGTTTACAAAGCCTCTCTACGATGCTGAAATACTACGCTAAAATGACCTTTCTATTGGTGAT